GGGAAAGAAGCCGGAGCTAGAAGGATTCATGTTGAAAAGAGAGGGGTCATTTAGAAATTTAAAATTTGGGAAGAAGAAGATTGAAGAAGAGTGAAGAAGGAAGGTGTCAGAGATTGAGAGGGGGGGGGGGTTTGAAATTATAAGAAAAAAAATTTCTTTTTTTTTGAGTCCAACGGCTATTATAGCCGTTAATGGGGGAGGGGAAGGAGAATGACGAAGCGTCATTCGTTTGATGTAGGCCATGTGACGCCCGGGTAACGCTGTCGGGAGGTGGTGTTTAACGCCCCCCGGGGCGTTAAAACGCCCCTAACGCCGGTGGGCGTTACACCCATACCCAGTGCTCTAAGGTATTGTGTGCAAAGGCAAAAGGATATACGCATCCTTTCTCCCACATATATTCTCAAACATTATTGAGAGAGTTAAGTTTGATTTACTTTATTTGCTTATTTTTATGAGCCATATCATAAAATACTATAGTCTTGTCACCTCATATTTTGTAAAGAAAATCATATATTTTTGCTATTAGAATATTATTTTTAAAGTTTTAAATTGGGTTGGATCGATGATACCGGATTACCAGGCTTTGAGGAAGTAGAATCAAACCAATACTACTCCCTCCGTCCCTGAGTATTTGTCTACTTTTAATTTTTTTTGGTCAAAATTATAAAATTTGACCTCAAATTAAATAAAAATGATATTAGATATTGATATAAAAATAGTTTTTTTAGATTGATTATATCAAACATTTTCAAAATATTATTTTATTTAATTAATATACAATATATATTTTATTTAATTATAGGTCAAAGGTTGAAAACGGTTGACCGAAAAAAGTAAAAAAATCAAAAACTAGACAAATAAGTAGTAATTTTCGGTGCCTGCTCCGGACCCGACCCGGCTGCGGTCATCATCTCTAGTCGTGATAGACTCCTTCACGGCGGCACAAGTCGGGTAAAACTGCAGAAGAAGCTCTCGGACGCGGGTTGCACGGGAATGGAAGCCATTTACCCAATCGGCGGTCTCTTTTCCGATCAAATTGCTGCACTTCTCAGCCCCCCTCCAACCCCCGAAGTTGAGGTACCGACTGCCTTCACCATCTCTATCCCTTCCATCTACATTGTTACCGAATACTATTTATCTTTTTTGAATTTCTCCAGAAATATTTTGAAGACCTTACATCATCCAGGCGATGCGATGGGCTCAAAGTGAAGCTCAATGGCGAGTACGGAAAGGGTAATTTTTTTTCTTTCTATTTTCACTCTTCTCCCTTTTGAGTTCTTGAATTGGGTGTTTTTTTCCCGGGTTCTTTTTTTAATCCAAATCCGTACTTTCAGTTTATGCATTTTTTATTTATTTTTTTGTTTAGTTGATTTCATTTTTGGTGACATTGAAATGCATTGCCTGGATGAACTGTTCGATTGCAGGAGTGTTTGCTGAAAAGAACTTCAAGGAAGGGGAACTTGTTTTGAAAGATAAAATGCTTGTTGGTGCACAACATACTTCGAATAAGGTTGTGAAATTTAGTCTCTTTCCTAAAGAACCGTTTTTTACCCCGTGCTTCACATGTTTGTTTTGTCCATTGCCAATGGACTGAATGGTGTCAAAAGAGTCATTTTTGATAATGTTGTAGCTTCGAGTAAATAATGTGCTAAATTAAAAATGGCTTATATTTAACTTCCCATACTTCTTACTTTTAATGAAGTTTTGGGTCTGACGGAAACAGCTTCTCTATTGTTTAGAGGGGTAAGGTCGCATACATCTTGACCACGGAGTTGGGAGTATAATGGGGTTTTAGTTACTTCTCATGTTCGCCCTTGTTTTGCAGATGAACTGTCTTGTATGTAGTTACTGCTTCCGGTTTATTGGCTCTATTGAACATCAAATAGGAAGGCAGCTTTTTTGGCTAGATTTTGGTGTTCCCACAGATGATTGTGAAGGGAAAGAGCTTTCACACCCAAACAGAGATTTTTGCAACTCCCATCATTCTGATGAAGCAGGTTCTTCAGGTAAAGAACTGCAGGAGAATGGTGGATGTTCGTCCAGCAGTTCCAAACCCAAAGTAAGCATCCCAAAGGATTTGCTTCATTCATTAATGAATGGTGACACTCTTCTACCATATTCGGAACATTTTCCGTTGCCCTCAATTGTTCCATGCCCAGGAGCATGCGAAGAAAGCTATTATTGCAGGTTAACATTTTCATAATAGTTTCACTGCTCCAACCACTTCAGGGATCCATTTCATCATTCAAATTGAGCATAATTTGAAAATGCTATTTGAGTTGAGCATCAATAATTTTTTTTAATATCACATTTCAACACTTTTGCAGCCCATCTTGTGCCCATGCTGATTGGGAGGAGTTCCATTCTTTGCTCTGTACTGGAAAGGGCTCAAAAGCATTAAGCACTGAGGCTCTTTTGAAATTCATAGAACATGCTAATGGTATTGTTGTGGTCTAGTACACAAACGACACTAAACTATCTGTCATGGAGTCCATTGATTTTCTTCTAATGTTTAACTCTTTGTGAGGTATGCTTTTGAAATATATGAAGCCATATATTGTTCTCTCTCATCTTTTTTTTTTTTATAAATTTCAGAAACAAATGATATTTTTCTCCCTGCTGCCAAGGTACTCATTGAATTACATGTTTTTTTAGCAGTTATTAACCTCCGCAAAAAAATTATTTTCATAACCAAGGACAGTAGGCATTTATTTATTTGTGATTTAGATGAATGAGGTGCTGTTGCCGAATCCTAAATGATATGCTCCCATTAATACATTATAGGTATGAACGTAATCTCGTGAATTGTGCTTCAGGTTATTTCTTTCACCATCTTGAGGTACAGGAAGTTCAAAGCAGACTGGATTTCTGGAAAAGGAAAATATGATGCTTCAGTAAAGAGTGCTTTTTCTCTTCTGTTGGAAGCTTGGAAGCCTGTATCAATGGGACATAAGAAATGGTACTCTATTTGGTGTTATGAATAAAGTATTGAGATTATCATAACGATCTATTGGTTTGGTCATCTGATTTTTTTTTTGGATGGATTTCCAAATTAATTTTCAGTTGGTGGGGCTGTGTTGATTTGCCTAATGATATTGACCATGGTGATGAAGGTGCAATTAGAATGCAGATTAAGGAGCTCGCTGATGAGGTAAATTATTCAGATTTTGGATCGTTAAGTACTCTCTATGTTGTTATTGGGGGTATTTCCGTATTTTACTGTTCAAATATGATTATTTATTTATTTGATGCTGAAGTTTATTAGTAATTATTTATGATTCAGTCCCTGCAACTCCTGAAGGCAGCCATCTTTGACCATGAATGTGAGGCATGTATCCTTCTTACTCCCTCCGTCCCAAAAAACTTTACCTTCTTTCCCTTTTTGGACGTCCCGAAAACAATTTCCACTTTATTTCCTTTATTTAGTAATGAGCATGCACCTCACAAGATTCCTGTCTCATCTAAACAATTTCTAAGCATTCGCTAAAAAACGTTTCAATACTTCTCTCAAATTCCATGAAATTCAAAAGTCTAATGTTTTTTTTGGGCGGAGGGAGTAGTTCTTAATGAATACGCAAATCTTCTCTTCTATTTGGTTTTATCACTTCAGAGAAATGAATGTCCTCGAGCCCTTGACAATTCACAGTATTTTCTCTTGAAATTTATGGCCATATTATTGGAATGTTCGAACTGAATAATCTGTAAGTTTTTCACTGCAAATTCACTTCCAAAAATAGACTATGAATCCTGAATGTTCAATTGTACAGAAAGGTGAAAGTTTTCTGGTGTTGGAGAAGAATGGTGCTTCTTCTTCTTCTTCCTTCCACCCCCACCCCCACCCCTGTAACCCTTTTATTTGTTTTGAAGCGTAGACACCACGTTCATATATGACTGGTGAACTGGTCAGAATTAAGATGTTCTTTACGTTAACTTCCTTTTTACCCTCTATCTCATGACGCCTTATGGCTGTGACAGTGATTTGATTGTGGAGTCGCCTCTAGTAAACTATTTTAAGCACATTGACGATCTTCCAAGCTTAGAAAAGGTCAGCATTTGATACATAAAATAATTATGAGTGCCCACATAGATAACTGGGATCACTCGAGTCGTGTTTTGCAGAGAGAAGCTGAGCAGATTATACGGCCCATTTTGGATGCTCTCGGTGATGAATATTCAACTTGCTGTCAAGGTAATGTTCTTTCGAATCAGGAGATCTAATTTGCCTTTATTGTAGGGTTCATGTTTAGGAAAGTTTAAAAGATAATCTTTTAACTTTTTGGTGTTAGGCACTGCATTCTTCCCATTGCAGAGTTGTATGAACCATTCGTGTAAACCAAATGCGAAAGCTTTCAAACGAGAAGAGGTGTGTTAAGAACGCTCGTTTATGCCATTTAAGTTTACTATCATTTGTCATGATGATGTTCTTTGTGCCTCTAGCTCGTGCCATTATTTTCGGTTTTCACCACATCTTTCTATTTGTGAGTTTTCAAGATCTTAAAGTTTCAAGAGCCGTATAACATACGACGAACTAATTTATTTTTCTTATTTTATGGCAAGGATTTGGATGGTGACGCAATAATAATTACACTCGAACCGATACAAAAGGGAGAAGAGGTAATTTTTTGATGATTTAATTTGCTTATGTTTGTTGGTATGGCCCTTGAGGGAGAAAAGCATTGTTTTTATGTGTGAGCATATAACAGCATTGGCCATAAATATTAGTGCTTTCTCTGCATTTACAGATTACTATATCATACATAGATGAGGACCTTCCCATTGAGGAGAGACAGGAATTACTTGCAGATTATGGCTTCAGATGTAAATGCCCCAAATGTCTTGAAGAAACCATTGAGGGTGTAAATTAACTCAAAAGTTTTCATTGTTTTCTTGAGATGCTTTTTAATTGTAAATCTTTGGGTTACCCATGGATTTTATTTTTTGACAGAAAATGTATTTTAGCTATTTTGGATTTTTCTAACAAATGACTGAATTACCCATTGAATACTTTCAACGCTCGAGATGTTTTGAATGGCATAGAGCAGTCATTAAACCAGAAAGCGTTACTTACCTTGCTCTAAGTACATGGGTCTTTGGTCTTTAGACCGATATATACATCCTTAAAACCTAAGAAAACAGAACAAATCACATGATGCGTCTAAAGATGTCATTTTTTAATCACAACCAAAAAACTGCTCCAAGGAAGATGCACTGTAAATGTTTGTAGCCAGTCCCCCTGCTTTGGTTGGCGAAATGTGAAGCTGGTTTTTGATAAATCGCTGCAACCATTAGTGGAAAAAAAACAAAAGATTGCATTAACAGCGACTATCAAGTCGATAATAATACTAGTAATGTTTTGGTAATGAAAACAACTTACCGCTAATTGAGTTACGATCTCTGGATTTGTGTCGATATGCCAATCAGGGTCCAGTTGCCTAACAAAAGATGTTCGTCCATTTTCTGTGCTACAAAAGAGAACCTGTGCAAACAGTCATAGAATAAAAGACTTTGTCAAAATCTCCAGACTTATTATGGTAATGTGGCCAAACACATGAGGGGAATTTCAATGAACCGAAGAACAAGGCAATTAGCTAATTAAATAGGGAAAGGTAAGATGCGCTGATTTCGAAATATAGATTTAACAAAGTGGAAAAGATGGAGAACCTGTTTGGTAGGCTTCATTTTCGGCATACTTTTCGACAAAAGACTCAAATTTCACTACATTGGCTGAATCAGGTCAAGTGAATTTGTAAAAAGTAGTAAATGAGTCCCTTTTTCCCTTTTTCAAATAATTATGTGATAGATTCAACTAATTAGCCACAACTTCAACCATTCAGCCATTTTAAACCTCACCAAATGGGGTCAGAAGTGCTAATACCTTGTCCTTCACCAAGCCACTGGATGTAAATAGTCCAGCATCTTCTAAAGCACGAAGGACCTTTTCCTGCACACAACACCTTGTGAGGCAAATGAGTAGGTAGATTTTGGCAAGTAGGATGGATCTAAAAGGCAAATGGTATAAATAATAGGGTCCAAAAGCATGATTTCCTTTTTTTCATTAGATTACTAAACAACATCCCTAATTGTATTGTTCTTGCACTGCATAACAAAACTAAGAGCGAGTACTTACTTCACTTTCATCGTCCAAAACTCTCTCCATGAGATAAAGATCGCATCGTTTTGTGATTTCGCGCAACACTCTTGGCACAGATGATCTTACAGTTGCTTTTTCCTAGAAACAAATATGCACTGTTATGGATCCATGCTTCATAACTGTAACTGAAGGCAACACTATGCAGTCAGAAAGCAAAAACAACAATAACCTGAAGCTCCTCTGGGGTAGTCTCCTCTAGGATCACACCAAGTAGCTGACAGGTTACCTGCTTAAAAAAGTACAATTAATGGTGTACCACCCAATGGCAGAGGGGGCGGATAGATCTACACCTATGAAGCACAGTATTCCACATATTGCAAGGTTATTCCAAGGTTATTTGTTTTAGCCAAGTATTCCACAAATTGCAAACATGATTATTTATTTGCCGTTGAAATATATTTATGTATTGTTTATTGTAGAGTAGCTATGGTTAGTGCAGTGCAGCTGGCTTAGCCTCCATATAGCCACACTGGACAACTCAATGTGTCTCCAAATTGTCCCAAAGTGTCGATATATACTTATGAAATGAGCTATTACTATCTAATGTTTTGTGTACTTATGCGAGTAAATTTAAAGTACTATGTTTGTATATGCTTTTGAAATGAGCTTATTGAGAAGTACTTATCTAAGTCCCTTATCCAATGTCCAAACTAGGCCACATTGTGCATGGAACAAAGAACAGAAAGATTATGGAGATTGACCTTCCTCCCTCCATTCAACCTTTGCTTAACTATCTTCCCTAGCATTGGCATTGGCTGCACATGGGTAATAAGATTGATTTGATTAATATACTTTAAACAGGTTGAAAGAATATTCTTTTAGCTTGAAGAAAATTTATGTCACTCAACTGTTACGCGCTGAGAGACATTATCAGAAACATGTTGTGCTCTTGAATCAATTGGCAAAGGGCTACATGCAGTTGTTGTTGTTTCTGTGGCTGCAGCATTTGAGCTTCTATTAGTTCTTGCACTTGAACTACTTGGTCCACCAGTTGGCGGCTTAAGCTGTCTTCTCTGATTGCAACTAGACTTTCTCAATAGTGTCCACGCAAACAATACTGCAAAGGCAAGACCCGCAAAGGCTCCAACCGATCTAGAATCCTAAATTTAGTGGGTAGATTTTTAGTTAGTAAGATAGACAATTTCACCATCATAAGGGAGATAGGTTACAAAAGGATTTCATGGTCACATTTATGTTTCTAAACAGGTTAAGATTATCACCACACACAGAGACAAAATATTGAGGGAAACATAAAAGCATTCGTATCTCATACCTGTATCACATCTGTTGAAATATTGGAATAATAACATTGTTCATTGAATTATGGAGTACATGATAGAGTATATATATAGGTTGGACTCCTAACACAACTAGAAATAAGGAATGGAAACTCACTAAAATACCACATCTACCATAAACAGGATTAGGAAGCGGACTAATAATCAAACACTACCATAACCAATACTACCATAAGTAATACTATTATAATTGTCGAACAACATCCAATAAACTACAAACACAAATTAAGATGAGATGAACGGATATAGATTAATAAACGATTTCATTCCATGGAATCAGATTAGAAACAAACAAGTAAAGATTCTCAGAGTGTAGATGTGCACGAAAAGCCTCAATTGATGTTATAAGAAACAGTCTCCCAAATTCTAAGAGCTAAATACATCAAAGAGCAGCTAGATTTCTAACAACTTCATCACAATATGAACTCTAAAGTTCTTGATCTTTTAGAAGATTTATTTGATGAGCATATCATCCTAAGAACGTTTGCAGAGCACGAGGGAGTGAGAAATTAGGGGTAAAAGATTTTAATCAGAGGGGAGACAGCAGCATCTGCAGAATCGAATCTTATAAATAATTTCGCAAAATTAACACTGAACATAACTGCATAAGAACCTAAACTTGTCAGAAACTCAGATTCATTTCCACCCTGTAAGGGAATGTAATCATCTATCTAATGATCCTAAGATGCAGTCCATGAACATCTGAGTAAAAAATACCTAAAAACAAAGGATGAAAAAATCACAATGAAATGAGGGAAAAGAAATGTTTTCATCATCAACAAATAGGAAAATAAATTAATCAATCTAAATTTGGTTTAAAGAACACGTAAAGTGAAGGAAGATATAAAGACATTGGATACCTTGACGGAGAGAAAGCTGCGGAATCGATTGATGAGCTGAGTGAAAATGTCTTTGAGGGAATCTGCCATGCCAGATTGAAACCCAATTCTCGCAAATAAGACTTTTGAAATTCACTAGAACCCTTCACAGTTGAGCTGCTCCAATTGAGATCAAAGAGAGGGAGAGTGTGGGGCTGTTTGACAACTTCTGAATGGGTAAGTGCTGAACCAGTAAGAAGTCTGAACCATTAAGTGCTGAACCAGTAAGAGATCTGAACCATTAAGAGTTAGTATATTGCTTAACTATTCAGAGGCAAATGTCTGATCAATTCAGATAAGAGGTCTTAACCATTCAGACTCTGTATAATACTTAACCATTCAGAGGCAAATCTCTTAACCATTCAGACATCTGAACCATTAAGAGGCTGAAACAAACAGTCTGAACCATTAAGTGCTGAACCATTCAGACATCTGAACCATTAAGAGGCTGAAACAAACAGTCTGAACCATTAAGAGGCTGAAACAAACAGCCCCTGACTATGTCTGAGATATAGGCCATGTTCTATATACTCCATCCGTCCACAAATAAACTTTACGTTCACTATTCACATGGTCAAACTTTATTCACTTTGTTGGCCTATTTTCGTCACTCATTTGATAAAATAATATAGTCATGTCACCTCTAGTTTTATAGATCTTTTGATATAGTATTTTAATATGTAATTTTTATTTTTTAATTCTACACCATTTTTTCATATAAAATGATTTGAAAATAACTTCAGTCAAACATCGTAACGCGTAATGTAAAGTTTAATTTTGGACGGAGGGATAGTTCTCATCTCATTGAAATAATGTTCTGATTTGATCGGTCTAATTTGATCGGATATGTGTGATGTGATTCCAATAAAAAATGTACAGTATTAAGTACTAATACTAAGTAACAAGTAACTTGAAGAGAACATCGATAAAAAAAAAATGCTACTTGCACACGACTTGGACAAATCAACGATTACAAGTCGAGAAAAGATTAAATCTAACAAAGTACTCTCTCGTCCTCAATTGATCTTTTCGTTACGGGTTACGAAAATTGATCGACTTTATTTTCAATTTAATTAATTTGATTGTAATGATAAGATTTAAAAATAAAATTCATATATATAGTAAAAATTACATGAAAAGTTCTAGAGAACTAGATGTCGCAAGACTATACGGGGTATTATTTTGTGAAACGAGTAATAAAATTAGCAAACAAAGTGAGTTAAATTTGACAAAGTGAATAATATCTAGAAAAATCTATAGCGAACAAAGGAAATGGAGTATATAATCTTTATTATTTGTATTTACAACTTATCCAATCAAATTTTTTTTACTTTATTTATTAATTTATTTTCATTACTCATTTGATTTATTTAAAAGAAAATTAATTAAATAGGATTAAAACATAATCATTTTCCCGATATAAGATCATGTGTTTTTAATTTCCAGTGTGGAATCATTAATCATTATCCATTAATCATCACTCAATTAAATGTCCACCATCACTAAACATTATTCCTCTACTAGACATTATTAAGTCCTATTTATAAAATAAAAAAATTTAAGTCATACATTAGGCAATGACTTATATTTTAGTCATATTTAGTGCGAACTTTTCTTAAGAGTTTAGGCATCTCAACTTTTGTTTTAATTTATAAAACTTTTGATATAATTTTATTCATGTACTTTTTCTAAAGAAAATACTCCGTATTATATTATTATTATTATTAAAATATATTTAATTAAAAATAGCTTCAAAATATATTAGTCTTGGTGCTTGTGTTGTCACATGAAGTTGGAAGAGTAATGCTAGTGGTACACAAAGGTGAACCCCAAATGTACACCACTCACTTCTCCACCATCCATTTTTATTTTATTTTTATTTAGTTATTATTTTTTTTTGAATTTTTTGCCTTTTTTTGTGAACAAAGAGGGGTGGGAGACAAATGAGGTACACATTTATATTGAGAAAGTCATTATGTTTTAGTCGTATTTAGGTAAATTACTCTTTCATATTTAGTTGAATTTGAATGTTTTACAATATATTCTTATTTTTATCTTACTCAAAAAATACTTCCTCTGTCATTGGTAACAATCTTTTTTTCTCTGTTTTTGATATTTTTTTTATTTTTTTGTGTTTTTTCATTGAGTATTTGATAAAATAACTTTTGTTTAATATGTAATTTTTGGTTGATAAAATAACTTTTGTTTAACTCTGTTTTCGATAACTTTTGTAAAATTAAGACGTAATTTTTTTAATATGTAATTTTTTTAATATATAATTTCTATATGTTATTGATGTACCAATTTATAAAAAAAATAATTTCGAAAGACAAATAATTGTAACATGTAACTCTAAAATGGCAATCTCAATTTGTAAACAAATTAAGAATGAATGAAGTATTTAGTTTTTTTTTTTTAATTTCTTCGTCAGTATCATGTGGTCATGTCTAGAAAAATAGTGGGGAGGAGAGTAATTTTTTTATGAAGTTAGTGAATTTATTTCGGTGACTATAACATTACTTTTCGATTGAATATCATATCAATAAATTTAATTAGACAAGTAGTAACTCTTCAACATTTATTCTTTGTTCCAAATTCATCAAATCTCTAGTGAGAAAATGAACCCTCGTCCATTATTCTATATTAGAAATTGCTGTATACTTTGACTGACTATACACCACATTTAATTTACTCTCCCCAAGAATAATGACCTTTCTCAACACCATCTTTTTCTTCAAACAACTTTGGATCATCGCCACCTTCACTTCCCTCTTCCTCCTCCTCCTCAACTACCACTCCACCCCTCCCTCCTCCGTCTTCCACCGCCCGTCCTCCGTCAACCCCACCGCCGCCGCCACGACCGCCGCCAGCCACATTGTTTTCGCCATCGCGTCGTCCGCGAAAACCTTCGAGAAGCGCAAGGACTACGTGCGCGTGTGGTACGCGCCGAACACGACGAGGGCGTACCTCTTCCTCGACCGCCAGCTCAGCAACGGCACCCGGACCGACCCGACCCTCCCCCCGGTCCTCGTCCACGAGAGCACGGACGGGTTCCCTTACAACAACAGCAAGGGGGACCGGTCCGCAGTGGCGATGTCACGGATGGTCAAAGCCGTGACATCAGCAGCACTGCGGAACAAGTCCGAGGTGCGGTGGTACGTGTTCGGGGACGACGACACGGTGTTCGTGGTGGACAACGTGGTGAGCGCGCTGTCGGCGTACGACCACGAGGAGTGGTACTACGTGGGGGGCATATCGGAGAGCTACGAGCAGAATGCCTATTTCTCGTTCGAGATGGGGTACGGCGGCGGAGGGTTCGCGCTCAGCCGCGGCTTGGCGGAGGTCTTGGCCGGAGTAGTGGATTCTTGCATCGTGCGTTACCCGCAACTCTACGGCAGCGACGCCAGGATCTTCTCTTGCCTGGCGGAGCTCGGCGTGGGGTTAACGCATGAACCCGGTTTCCACCAGGTGCGTATACGTACATCCTTCACATCAAACGGTTTCCCATTCGACATAAATTCAATCTTTTATTTTTGATAGTAACATAAATTCAATCTTAATTACTTTCACTATTAAGAAAACTACTAAAACAACAATAATGCATGCACAAATCTCTTACTCCATTCATCCATAAAAGACTTTTATATTCACATGCAATCTAAATACCCGGAGTAGTTAGTTTCTTTCTTTTTCTATTTTCTTAATATTTTATTCTTCATATTTTGATATATGAAACATCATACTACGTATTTTATTTCTCACTAAAAAATACTCCGTATCATATTTTGATATATGAAACATGTTTTAGTCTTGTTAAATATTTGGGAGAAATGCTCCATCTGTTTATAAAAGATTGCTAGAATTTGACTTTTTTTATCAAACTGTTGTACTATATGAGATTGAATTAAATATAGTTTAAAATAATTGAATATTATAAAAATTTAATATTCCAATGCAAAACTGTTGGACAATACGAATAATAATAGTATTACTTATGGTAGTGTTTGATTATTAGTTAACTTTCTATTCCTGTTTATGGTAGATGTTATATTTTAGTTAGTTTTCATTCTCTATTTCTGGTTGTGTTAAGAGTCTATCCTATATATACACTATCATGTATTTTATAATGTGAAATTTGCACTGAATAGGAATAGAACATAAGCCATATCCCAATGTTGTACTTAAACTTTTTTATTCCCTAAATAGGACTTAATAATGTCTAGTGAGAAGAATAATGTCCAAGTGATGCTGAACATTTAGTTGAATAATGACTAATAGATCATGACCAATGATCCTACATTGGGAAATAAAAACATATGGTCTTAAATTGAGAAAGTCATTATGTTTTAGTCCTATTCAGATAAATTACCCTTCTATAATTCAATGAACAATGTTGTTCCAATATTCTAACAAAAACTTTTTTTTATAAAATAAATTCAATTTTACTAAATTGACATTATAACTACATATACTTTTTTCATAATTTGCGGTAAAAGTATGTCACCGCTTGACCAAAAAAGTTAAACTGTGACAGTCTTTTAGGGACGGAGGGAGTATATAATTAGGACAAATCATGCTCTATATATACTAAAATTTAATATGACCTTACTACAAATAATGCCAATAAAAAAATTTCAAAAGAACACTTTGAAATGTCAACATTCCTATTTACATAGAAGATTTTATTTTGATATAACATCCGTTTAATCTTTTACGGAGTAGTTTTCTTTAGGTGATTATTTTGCTTTGAAACATTTGCTCCATATAAGACTAAAAGGTAGTACTTTTATCTAAATAGAACTAAATATGTTTTATTCCCTTTATGACACATAATTCCATATGATTTGAAATATGTGTTCTCATTATGAATAAATCCCAATGACTCTACGAATGTGGTCATTAACAACAAGCATTGGAAAATGACTGATTATTACAATGACTATTCAAATCATTTTTAATAATGTCTTATTCTACTTGAATTATGTAATTGTTCATTTTCTCAAAGGAAATGTATTTTAGAACTTTTCATTACCAAATATTAGAGTTTATATACTCCGTATATGACTGGTCCTATTTAGGAAAAAGTAATATGTTTAGGTCTCATTTGCGTAAATTTCCCTTTTACTTTTTATTCATAATCTCCGATGGAGATAAATGTTCACTATTTTTGGACTTTGGATATAATGAAATAAAATAAAATAGCTCTTTAGTTTATTTGTGTTTCTTTCAATAGTAAATTAGCAATTAGCTTAGTCAATGAACTTTCAAGTTGCATTATGAGTTATCTGGAGCACTCCCATTTTTATGTTTTAAACATAGATGTCACACTCTCTACATTACTCCGCCCTTCCTTGCCGGGCCGGAACCATTATGGCATTGAACCATTTGTTGTTGTTGTATGTTGTAATTATTCTTTTTTTTTTTTTCAATTGTAGGTTGATCTATGGGGAAACCTGTTTGGCTTGCTCACATCACACCCACAATCCCTTCTATTATCCCTACACCACCTCGACGGAGTTCAGCCCCTCTTCCCCAACACGTCCCGCCTCCAAGCCCTCCACCGCCTCTTCTCCGCCGCCCGAGCCGACCCGGCAAGAATCTCCCAGCAAACCGTCTGCTACGACCCGAGCCGCTCCCTCTCCTTCTCCCTCGCGTGGGGCTACTCCGTTCAGATTTACGAGGAAAACCGCCCCCTCCCCGACCTCCTCCAGCCCCTCCAAACCTTCCACCCCTGGAACAGAGAAAAGCGGGCCCCGCTTTTCATGTTCAAGACTCGACGCGTTTCCTCCCACCCTTGCAGGAGGCCCCTCGTGCTCTTCTTGGACCGCGTCGAGTCGGATGGCGGGCCCGGAGGGGGTGTTCGGACTAGGTACACCCGACAAGGGCATTTGAAGCGTTGCTTCAGAAATCTTGATCTGGCGAACTTGCAAACGGTCAACGTTTTTTCTAACAAGCTGGATGTCAGAGTATAAAACTTTTCTGTACTCCTTAGTTATAAGTTTGAGTTTTGAGTTGAGTTGGTTTTTTGACGTGTATATGTGTTTAATTTTCAGGTGAAAGCTCCGCAACGACGACAGTGTTGCGACATTTCGTCATCTTGGGATGAATCGATGGATATACGAATCAGAGAATGTGGGAGAGATGAACTGACGGCCATGTTTACATGAACTAAATTTTTTTGAAGACTATACTTAGATATGTTTTTTTTCAATGATATTTTAGGGATAATATATGATAGTTGAAATTAATTTTCAGTGTCATCATATCCTAGTTAATTAATTAATGGTGAAGTAGGAAAGGTCTTCTTGACTTAGAAATGATCGATAACTGGAAATTTGCATGAATGTAACGATTCTTTTTATAATGTTCTAGGCTTCTAGCAACAAAAATACAAAATTAAGCACTTATGAGTGTATTCCGTATAATTTAGGATTAGCGTAAAATTTAAATTTGAAGAATCTTGACCAAAAGACTACTAGTGAAAGAGTTTTTTTTAATGTTCTTGTGAAAGAGTTAATTAAAGTGAAGATGGCGGCACCAAATTCAAGTCTTGTGAAAGAGTTTTAATTATACTCCATATATAGTAGGTCTAAAATGACACCAGAGCTACAAGTGTCATTTGGTTACACCAGTTTAATTTGGTTGGCTTACACCAATGCAAAAGGGAAGACATGACGTTTTTTCTTAAAAGTTAATTAAAAGGAAGTTAGGTCATTTTCTGAATAGCATGCTAAGTGACCCCAAAGATTGTAGAACAAAAGTTTACACTCACATTTTGATAGTTTATATTGACATAAAATATCAGTGTGATTCCAAAATTTCACATTGACATTTTGTATGAATGTAAGTAATCAATATCACATTTACATTGACATAAAATATAAGTATGAACTTTTTTCGTACTTTTGGGGTATAATATTTGGAGTACAAGTAGATGTATTATTTTCTAAAAGTATGAGAATATTTGGGGAAATATATATTTTTAAAAGTTGGAATTATTTTTTGGAATAGAAATTTAGTGCATGTTCTCTTTACTTGATCTGATTAAAAAAAATTATAATTTGATGTGGTTTGGTCTGATTCTAATTATAGTTATACTTAAAACTATATTTAATCTTATCTAATTTCAATAAATATAAATAATACGGAGTAAATAATAAGATTACGTTGAAGAAAATTGTTCCATCTTAAACAAGTTTTTAGTTACGAGAATCAATAACAAGCTAAGGTTGCACATTTTATTAGCAAAAGTCCCTTTTATTAGACCCACATGGAAAACCAAAAACCAAAAAAAAAAAAAAGAAAAACAATGAGATAATGATGAATTAAAAAAAAGAAGTGACACATAAACATGGAATTGATGGAGAATGAAAGATGGATTTGGATTGGGAATGTGAATGTCCAAGCAGCCTAGCAACATACGCCATTGAGCTACAATTCCGCTAGCTTAATTCCAAAGGATTGGCTATGCATCTTCATCTCTTTCCCCCTTTCACAATTCTTCTTAATTTAATGTTCACCATTCATAACAACAACAAAAGATGCACTTGATGAAAAGCCATCATCACCATTACTATTATTCCCCCAAGACAATCTTCCTACTCTCCTCCTCCTTGTTGGCCATATTCCTCCTCTCTTCCTTCCTCCTCCTCCCCGACTCTACCCTCTCCTTCCTCCTCCGTGGCTCCGCCTCCCAACGCCATGCCCCGCCGCCGCCCCCTCCGTTGTCCCTCCGCCACGTCGTGTTCGGGATCGCCTCGAACGCGAACTCGTGGCGGAGGCGCAAGGAGTACGTCAAGCTCTGGTGGCGGCCCGCGGAGATGAGGGGTTGCGTTTTCCTCGAGCGGGAAAACGCGACCTCTGCCTCCGACAACGACACCGCCCTCCTCCCGCCCGTGTGCGTCTCCGGGGACACGTCCCGGTTCCGCTACACGTACGGGGCGACGGGGAAGGGGACGCCCTCGGCCATACGCGTGGCCCGCGTGGTCTCGGAGACCGTGGCCCTGAACCACACGGGCGTGAGGTGGTTCGTGTTTGGGGACGACGACACCGTCTTCTTCCCAGAGAACCTGGTGAAGACGCTGTCCAAGTACGACCACGGGTTGTGGTACTACATCGGGGCCAACTCCGAGAGCCACGCCCAGAACAAGTTCTTCTCCTACGGGATGGCGTTCGGCGGGGCTGGATTCGCCATTAGCTATCCTCTGGCTAAAGTCTTGGCTAGAGTTTTGGATTCATGCCTGGAAAGATATCCACATCTCTATGGAAGTGATGCCCGAATCCATGCCTGTTTATCCGAGCTCGGCATTTCTTTAACTCTCGAGCCCGGATTTCATCAGGTTTATTCTTAGGAGAATTTACTTAAATAACACTACAACATAATGACTTTCTCTAAATAGCACCACATGTATTTTTCTTTCCAATGTAATACCTTTAATCATTATGCATTAGTCATTATTCAAGTAAATATTTGTCATCACTGGACATTATGGACATTATTAAGTACGATTTAGGGAATAAAACAATTTATGTGCTATTTAGTGCAAATATTTTTTATTCTTAAGACTCAAACTTGTACTTAGATTTATGAAATATTCTTATCTGGTACGTTTTGAATCAGTTGGATGTTCAAGGGAACGTGTTCGGATTGCTGGCGGCGCATCCGGTGAGACCGTTGGTCTCACTCCACCATATGGATGTATTGTTTTCGATATTCCCACACATGACGATAATCAAATCTCTCCGGCACCTGTACGCCGCCGCGGCGGTGGACCCGCACCGGATCTTGCAGCAGACGGTGTGCTACGACCGGTGGTTTTCGTGGACAGTGTCGGTGTCGTGGGGGTACGCGGTCCAGGTGTTCGGGAACCACGTCCGGCTGCCGGAGGCTCTCCGGGTGCAGCAGAGCTACATGCCGTGGAAGAAGGGCGGGAGGGGGATGGTTTATGACTTCGACACGTGGGATTTCAACCCCGACCCCTGCCGGAGGCAGCCCATTTTTTTCTTCACTAATGCTTCTTCCGCCGCGGGCGGCGGCGGCGGTGATCGGGTCTCCACCGTGTACCGGAAGATGACCAAGGAGAAATGCAGATTTGACTTGGCATCTCCGAGGAAACTCGAGGAAATCAAAGTTCATTCCCACAAGTTGGTCCTTGACCGGAATCAGGTATTTTAGTTTGTCTTCGATTCAAGTTAGATAAATTTTGATCATCAAAAACGAAATTTGACACGAAAAAAAATGATGTGATTGAGAAATATATGGCGCAGTTGCTAGCACCAAGAAGGCAATGCTGTGATGTGTTAGCTTCAACTTCAGAAAGAGTAATGGAGATTGAGATTAGAGAATGTAAAGAAGATGAGATTACTTTTCTCCAGCAATGATGAAAATGGTGGGTGTGACCAAATTTCTCACAATCAAAGTGCTTAATTACTGTAATTTAGACCTCAGATCAATTTTTTTGTTTGTTTTTTTTTGGTTTGTTTTGGTTTAAGGACACAAAGTCATGTATGTATGAGTAAATAGGGACAGAAATTTAGGGCTGGAATTTCAATGTTCTGCTCATAGGTCATTAGATCAACGTGTAACAGGTTGACATCTGCTGTTGAGCAGAATATAGTTTTAGACATAACAAATTTCTGAAATAAAGTGTTTGATATATCTCGAATCTAGCATATATCAACTACCTCTAACACCGAACCTCTGCCGTTGCCCGACAATCGTTGACACTCACCTTTCACTATCGGTAATGGGCGTGATCAACTCTCATTTCCAGTAATGAACTAAAAAAGAAAAAAAAATTGACGTGATACTGAATGACTCGGAATGGACAACGTGATAGGCGTGATCCACACCTATGAGCTTAAAACTAACCATATACTTATAAGCCTTACATGTTTTGGTACAATATAGTAGTAATATTCGAAACTGTCAAAATTCATTCGAAAGAATCTTTCCACTACCACCGACATCGCAGGAAACTGCTTCAACGGAACTGGATCTGAGTCTGAAATATATTATTAAGACAATGCTCGATCTATGTATGTAAATCGCGAAATCAATATTCTTAGGGCCTGTTTGGGAATAGCGTTAGAGATTAGCGTTAGTGTTTTGGATAGAATTTTAACGGTGCAGATTACTTTGAAAACGCTAACGCTAAACGCTGTCCGTAGATAGCCTTTTCAAAACGCTAACGCTAATCGCTAACGCTATTCCCAAACAGGCCCTTAGACTATTAGATTCTCTTTACAGAAATACAGATCCTCTGGAACCTCATCCAAATCGGAACAGGGATGATAAACAATAGAGTGGATTAATTGAAAAACCTGCTAAAGCAATGGATCGACTCAAGAAGAAAAAAAAATACGGAGTAGTAACTAAGAATGCGCCGGGCCAGAGGCCACCAGAGCAGCGCTGGGAGGACTCAGTGCAGGCGGGATTGCCGAGACGGACGGTGGCGGTGGCGGAGGAGGTGCGGACGCCTGCAATTGAGGCGGCGGAGGAGCTGAATTGGGACTCTCCGGGCTCTGATCTACGCTTTCCGGCGGCGGCGGCGGCGGCGGTGCAGATGACGACGGGCCGTCGTTCGGCGGAGAGACACTAGGGTTCGGGTCGGGGAAAGTAGCGATGGGGTTGATTTGATTCGGAGGGGCAGGGCTTGCGGTGAGGTTACAGGATTCGCCGGAGCAAGAGGCGTGGTCTCCTCCGTCGTGATTCCGTTTCCTGAAAAGGCCGCCGAGTCCCAAGATGAGGCCAGTGAGCACCAGAACGGTGACGATGAAGATGAAGATCTTCGTGGCTTTCCCTACGTAGCAGCACATCGTCTTCTTCTTCGTCGTCGTCTCTATGTCTGCATCTGCCTTTTTGTCTTATATGTCTCTGGCGAATCTATAATTTCCTCTTTTCTGCTCTCATGGATTCTTTTCATTTCATTTCATTGTGTCCCTGGCTGGAGCAGAAGGGAGCTGTATAAATACCATTGTTGAATGAATGGTGATGAGGAGGAGCGCAGTAGAAGTGGTTGGTTGGGTGGCAGAGATGGCAACCTGGCAATGGGTCATGTGAAGGTGGTGAAAGCCTATTGGGAAAAACTTGCGGCACAATGTCACGAGTGCACAATTTCGCGGTCATGGTCAATGCTACCTTGCCCCACCCATGCATCCAAGTTTCTCCTATTTTGCTCCTATTGTTCATGAAGAATATTCTTTACAACCAAAAAAATTGAGTTATATGCATAAATAATTCTTGTGGTCCTAGGTATATAGTCTTTATATTTTTAAAAATTCTTAAATAATTCATCTGGTCAAAGAATTGATTTATAATTAGTCTTTTTTTAAGTAAAATATGGAGACGGCAGAAGACATGCGTACTGCGTGAAGATGTGAAACATGAAAACCTACTTGAAAAGTAGAATATTATCGAGCTTAGATGGAACATTATTTCAAGATTCAAAATTATCATTGTTGAAGATATGAAGATTTTGTAAGAGTTAAACCAAAAGGCGGAAGATCTTTTATTACGTTTTAAACTTACATAGTTACACATCATTAATGAAACTTCAAATTAACTTATTTTTGAAATTTTAATTGCAATGAAGGTGAGATGGAGATAGATCTCACACATGGGATAGAGACCTCCTTGAAGTTATGTTTATACAAGATGATATAGATGAGATTTGTCGAATCTTCAAATTACATGAGATCTAACTGCATCTCATCGTCATTCGAGAGAGTCCACCTAGTATGCATCTTCAATATATAAAATTTGTTACATATAGGAGTAAAACATTGTCCATTTTCCAAAATAAGACCTCTTAGTTTTAATTTTTTATGTAGGACTTAATTAATTGCTAAAATATCTGTAAGCACAAATATTTAGTATTAAACCTAAACCTAATCACTACTCTCAATCTTCCCTGTCGCCAAGCATTTACGAAGTACTTTTTTTTTACCTCCACCATTGACATTCTTCTTCTTCTCCTTCTCCTTCTCCTTCTCCTTCTCCTTCTCCTTCTCCTTCTCCTTCTTCTTCTTCTTCTTCTTCTTCTTCTTCTTCTTCTTCTCATTTTTTATATTTTGTTTTCCATAACCATCTCCTTCCCCCACACACCCATGATGTCGCTAGCCATCGTCGTTTTTACACGGTCAGATTTTAAAAAAAAATCCATCTATCTTGATCTATTTTTCTTTTCTGACCTTATTTACTACCAACTTGTTTTTTTCAACTTTTGGTTCTTTTTTGTAATTATCTACATTTTTTTAATGACTTATTGATTTTTGGGGTTTGATCTTCTTCATCTTGCTTTTGTTAATTAACTTCATTCTTTGTGGTGCCACTATCATTCATTGTCACTACAATGACATTAAAGACTGTGGACATTGTTCTTTTTCCTCAATGGATAATTTTTTTTAACATAGTGGATAATGTCTATCCAGCAGAGGACATTATTAGATAAAATCGTGGACATTGAGATCATAATGACAACAAATGCAATGGATTGGACAATGAGCAGTTAAAATGTTGTGAATATCGTCTTTTTTATTTATGAATATAAAGACTTTGAACATAGTAGATAGTATTCATCTGGTATAGGACATTATTGGAGATAATAGGCGGCGATGGTGGCTGGACGGTCTATAATGATTGTTTGTTGTGATGGGCGATAATGGATTGTAATGGATGGCATGGTGGCGGCCGGATAAAGTTATAAATTAAGATTTGAAACCTAAAAGGATATTTTAGTACATTTATATTAACAATTAATCAATTGTTAAATAATTAGAAACTAGTTAGGGAAATAAAAAACATAAGATCCTTTTTGTTAGAATATAAATAACTGTTCTTGGACCACAACCACAAGCTTGAGCTTTTGGTTGAGTTGGTTCCTTGACATGGTATCGGAGCCTCGTTGACTAAGAGGTCACGAGTTCGAAACTCAGCGCCACCCAGTTTAAAAAAATTAAGGTTTCACGTGCAAGGCTCGAAAAAGACTGCCCCTGCACGTGAGGGGGCGTATTAGAATATAAATAACTGTTCTTGGGCCACAACCACAAGCTTGAACTTTTGATTGAGTTGGTTCCTTGACACTATTCAGGGAAAATGAATATATTTTGACCTTTTTAAAGTAATTTTCTCCTCTAGTATAAGGTGATATGTATTATATTTTTAATGGGTAAAGTGTATGTTTGGCAAAGGAAGTTGAGAGAAAGAAATTGGAGTGAAAAAATTAACTTTCACTTGTTTGTTTGGCTGGGGAAAATGAAGTGGGAATTCAAAATGTTATAGAACAGTGGTAGTATAACAATTTGATCAAAGAAATTACAATCTTCGTCTCAATGCATTGGTTTAATTTAACTTTTTGAGTCAAACCAAATAAAGTTTAGACTTCAATTTAATAAAAATGGTAATATATATTAGTATAAAAAAGCTTCATTATAACAATCAAATTTAGAATTTTTAAAATTTTTATTTTATTATTTCAATATGCAGTATAAATCGAGAATAATTAATCATTAAAATTCATTTAATTTAACTCTAAAAAATCAAGTGGGAATCTCTGGTAAAAAAGTTTTCTCAAGAAAGAATCCCGCATTTGAACTACTCCGTATAAGGGCCAAAAGTGTGTTTTTAAAAAGTTACGAATTCAAAAGTTGTGTGGACGTTTATTTCGTCATCTTCCTGTCCGCCCCTCCCTTATTTTGCCTCCTAAAAACAATAAACAAACATTCCAGCGAGCAAAAAATCCCATGGTAACAATATATCAATAGCCATCTTCTGCATTTCTCTGCGATCGAACCCCTTCCTCCAAAAGGCTTTACGGCCTGGGTCGGGGTCGAAATCTCTATCTTTTCTCTCTCCACTTGCAATTTGGGATTTTTTTCTTCTTTTGTGACGTTGGGGGGGTTCGAATCACAGGCCGATTTTTCTTGATTTCGCCGGCGTTTCTTGAAATCGGGCCGTTGTGTGCATAATAATAATAATACGAGATGAGATGAGGGGGGAGGGGTCATGGATGGGAAGGGTAATTTGGGAATCGGGCATGACAATGGCTAGATTCGTCGTCCTTCTTGTTGTTTTTCTGACCGCTTTGGTTTCCATTGATTCCGGTTGGAAGCTTTCTGGCGGCCATTTAGGTCATTTGGATGTTCAAAAGACAGACAAACATTCGGTAGGGCATTTTAATTTTCCCTTCTGTAATTCTAGTTGTTTTTTTCATGATTCTTATGTGATTTTAACAATGTTTCAGCTTCGGACTAAATCAAAATGTCACATTAAACTTTCCCTCGTTTCTTACTCTCTATGAAGTTTTGGGCAGTAGATGAAACAACCTCTTTGATTTTTACAAATGTTAAGGTTGTATCTTGGCCTTGGAAACCAAATGGAGTCTGGGATCGTACTTGTTTGGTTGTTGTAGGTGATTTTGACATGTATCTTAGTTTGATGATTGATGAAAAAAGATATGTCTGGACAATTTCTGGAAATTTATGTTCAATTGGAAATAAATGTGGAAAAAGAGAAGCTACCATGGAGCCAATGTATGGAAGAGTAGCTGTAGATTCTTAGTTTTATAATTTTTACTTGTGGGATATGCCAAGATTTGGTTGCTTAATGCTTATTAATCACAAAGTATTTGCATGAGATTCTTTGGATGAGTATAGTGTTTGATCTGTTGTGAAAAACAGGCAGAACAGGTGTGGATTCTTTGTATGAAACAGTTGCAAGAGAATCCCAAAGAGGGTTCCCATTTTCGGCATCCATCCGAGGGAAGTCATAGTTCTGTAAGGACTCACAAAACTTTGTCGGCAACAAGAACATTATGGGAGGTTAAAGAGAAGCAAATTCCTTTGGGCTGCATACTTGATGAAAACCCCTCTTTACATGATGAGCTTGACTCTCTGTTTATCAAGTACAAAGATTTTACGCCGAGGAGATCTTTGAGACATAAAAAGAAGAAGCGCTCGTCTTTGCATACTTCTGCTCCATCTCCAGTCCCATCATCTCGTCGTGCTCATGTTGGCTCTCATCACTCTCCTTCTCAATCCAAAGAAGTTTTTAAACCTCATTCACAGTCTGCAACTCAAAGTCTCCCCCTTGACAAGCTCTCTCGTCCATTTTTCGTTTCCCTTCACGCTTCTCCACACAAACCACCAAACCATCTTCTCCAGCTACAGATTGTTACTCCTGACCTATCAAATGCTCTCCCAAAGTCACCAAATGATCTCCCAAAGTCGCCAAATGATCTCCCAAAACCACCAAGTGCCCTCCCAAAACCACCAAATGCTCCGAAAACTCCGAGTGCTCCAAAGCCACCAGATGCTCCAAAACCACCGACTGCTCCAAAACCGCCAAATGCTCCGAAACCACCGAGTGCTCCAAAACCACCAAATGCTCAAAAACCACCAAGTGCTCCAAAGCCACCAAATGCTCCGAACCCCCCGAGTGCTCCAAAACCTTTGAGTCCTCCAAAACCACCAAGTGCTCCTCGGAAGCCAAAAAATGCCACATCAGAAAATAATGATGATAGAAGAACATTTAGGATAGCTGCCATTGCTGGGTCCACCACGGCAGCATTTGCCTTTGTGGCTCTATTCTTGATTTGCTGCCTTAAGAAAAGAGAGGATAATGGTGGGCAACGAGATGGAAGACCTCTTCTTAAGAATAGCACTGGTAATATTTCTGCTCTATATTATGGAGTATATAAAAAGACAGCTGCGTTATGTGTTATGACAATATATATATTCGCTATGGTCTTTATTAGTTATTACTCTCATCCTCCCAAAAGTTTTATGCTGTACTGACCATTTTGAATGTTTATCTGTTTAGGTTCTTCACAAAACACTCAGAGCATACGCAGTTCTAGCAATAAGGATTCCCAGACTTCGGTCAATGTGAGTAATCTCTCTGGTGGAAACAGTTCATCAGGAACCAAAACTATGGGTCACGAAGCTACTGTGAACCTTCAAGCATTACCGCTTCCTCCAGGAAAATTTGCTCCACCTCCACCCTCTCCATCACCACCAGTACCGCCACCACCTAAACCTCCAGCTCCAAAAGCCCCTCCCCCTCCGAAAGCTCGCCCTCCTCCTAACCCACCTAAGCCAGGTGCCCCCAAGTCTTCGCCTCTAGGACCACACCGCAGAGGGCAATCTTCTGGAAGTGAGGGAAGTGAAACCGGAGGAGGGTCTCCCAAGACTAAACTAAAGCCTTTTTTCTGGGACAAGGTCAATGCAAGTCCTGATCACTCAATGGTTTGGCATGACATTAAAGCGGGTTCTTTCCAGTAAGGATCATGTCATTCTTTGTTACTATTTCTATCTTTTCGCCATGAAAGCTTTTGAACTTGTGTGGTGTGATCAGGTTTAATGAGGAAATGATGGAGTCATTGTTTGGGTACTCTCCAGCAGAGCAAAACAAAAACGAGCGCAAGAAAGATTCGTCTTTGAGTTCTACTCCGCAGTATATTCAGATAATTGAGGCTAAGAAGGCACAAAACCTAGCTATACTTCTGAAAGCATTGAATGTGACAACTGAGGAAGTCTGTGATGCACTAAGAGAAGGTAGCTCAGTAGTTGTGGGCTAGGAGTGTGTATTCTGCTATTGTTAATTTTAATTATTAATTGAATGTTTGTGCTTAATGTGATCCTAGGTAATGAGTTACCACCCGAGCTCATTCAGACACTTTTGAAGATGGCACCAACATCAGATGAAGAACTTAAACTGAGGTTATATCCTGGGGAAATTTCTCAGCTTGGCCCTGCAGACCGCTTCCTAAAAACTATTATTGAGATACCCTTTGCCTTCAAAAGGATGGAATCGTTGTTGTTCATGATTAATCTTCAAGAAGAAGTTTCCTCCGTCAAGGAGTCCTTTGCAACCTTAGAGGTAAGCCCCCAAACTATAAAAAAAACAAGCTCCGTACAGTTCTACAAAAAGTAGGGTCTAAGGAGGGTGTGTACCCATTCCTTACACCTACTCAGAAATAAGCTTCCAAAATCTAAAGTCCCTAAATGTTTGTTCCGTTTAATATATTATCTATTTAGCTAGGACTTTGCTTACCCTATGTACATATCTTACAGGTGGCATGTAATGAGCTAAAAAGCAGCAGGCTCTTCCTGAAACTTCTAGAAGCTGTTCTAAAAACCGGGAACCGCATGAATAATGGCACTTACCGAGGCGGTGCCCAAGCTTTCAAACTTGATACTCTCTTGAAACTCTCAGATGTGAAAGGAACTGATGGCAAGACCACACTCCTACATTTTGTTGTTCAAGAAATCATTAGATCCGAAGGCATAAGAGCTGCACGTAGATTAAGGGAGAGCCATAGTATGTCCAGTGTAAAAACTGAAGATCTTGTAGAGGATTCCCAACCTGAATCCAGGGAGTATTATAGAACTCTCGGCCTTCAAGCAGTCTCCGGTCTCAGTGATGAGCTTAAGAATGTGAAAAGGGCTGCCGTCATAGATGGTGACAGCCTAACACAGTCAGTGTCAAAACTTGGGCATTCACTCCTAAAAGCCAAGGAGTTTTTAAACAATGAGATGATGAGTTTAGAGGACGACAGTGGGTTCTCAGAAACACTGACTAACTTCTTGGAACACGCAGAAGGGGAAATCCCTATGCTGCTGAACGAAGAACAAAAGATTATGGCTTTGGTAAAGAGCACGGGAGATTACTTCCATGGGAGTTCAGGAAAAGATGAAGGGTTGCGTCTCTTTGTGATTGTCCGCGACTTCTTGATAATGTTGGACAAGGTATGCAACGAGGTTGAAAAGGCAGCAAAGTCAAAGGTTAAGGTTCCAGAAAAGGAACTGACATCATCAACCTCAACAACTCGTTCACAAGATTCGCAAACGGATCCTTTGCCTGATGTTGTTCGCCAGCACCTATTCCCAGCAATAACATCACGGAAGATTGACGATGATTTCAGTTCAGATGAAGAGAGTTCGTCTCCTTAAGCTTCTGGTTAAAGGGTCTACAACAAAGTTGTTGGCTGGTGAATCAATTTAACTGTTAGCACAACATTAGCCTTGATTTGTATATAATGTATATATGTTGGATCAAAGGCGTTTCCTATTTACTCTTGAATGTTTAGGTGAATGAGAAATCTGGGAATACACAGCAAGGGAAGGTAGTATGCAACAGAATGGTTTATCCTTCGTCCATGTAAATTCATACTTGGTTGTCACCCTGCACAGCTCCAATGTAACAATGTAGCCACAGTCATATATCTTTCTCTATCAAACGCTTAATAAATATGTGATGTTATACCAATTTTGGATTTTGAATGAAGTGGTTTTTGTTTTCATTTAAGTTTCTTTCCATGTGCTTGTTGCACTCTGCTTTCATTTGACTTTTTAGTTTTGTATTCCATCTGTCTCAAAAATAAGTTTCCATTTTGACTGTTATCGTCTGACTTATGAGATTCCACTGGGTAAATTGTTGTCTGGCTTTGATGGTCATATTTTTTTGATAATTGATTTGCATTATAATGATAATATATTGGAACCATGAAGGCCAAATTGAGATATTTTAGAAAAGATTTCTAACCCACAAATTCCTTTGGTGAACATGAGGGAGTGTGGGCAATTTTCTTTTTAAAAACATTCAATATGGGTTCTGACATATTCGCATAATTTGACTTTTTATGGTTCCCTTAGTGAATATTTTAACCATTTTTTATCTAACATAAAAAAATTAAATAAAAAGTACTCTATGAAAGTTTTTAATAACACAAATCTAATTAATTTTTTTTATAATTCGTATTACTTCTTAAAAAATATTCCGAAGCCAAAGTCACTCAAGTGTAATTGAAAAAAAAAACAAAATGAACAAATATTTTGTACCCAGTAATTATTTTTATTCTCTTTTCTAAACAAAATCACACGAATTTTAACTTATTAACAAGAGAACCAAGTCCTATCAAGGACAAAATTACACACAACAAATGGAGCATTTGACTTATGTAAGAATATGTCCTTGGCACTCAAGTTATTTCAATAACACTATGCCCTTGCTTCTCATTGTTCAATCCCTTCTCCTTCATCAACATTCTTACATCTCCAACTCTATCCCACATGTGTGCCAAGGCATAGAGATTGGACAACTGCACATAGTGATCTCTGTTAAGTGGATCCAATGCAAAAAGTCTCTGTGCAGCATACTCACCCAATCTCACATGGCAATGCATCTTACATGCACTCAGTAGTGCCTTCCAAACTGAAACAGATGGTTCAGCTGGCATTGTCTCGATAAAGCCGCGTGCCTTCTCAAGATACCCGGCACGACCCAGCAGATCAACAACACAAGCGTAATGCTGGTGGTGCGGTTTGATTCCATGATCCCTCATGCAGTTGAGGAATTCTAATCCCTCTTGTATGAGCCCAGAATGATTGCAAGCCACAAGGAGCCCTAGGAAAGTCACATCATTCGGAGAGACCCTTGACCGTTTCATTGCATAGAAAAGATCAATGGCTTCTCTCCCCCGACCGTGCGAGCCATAAGCCATTATCATAGCACTCCATAAAACCACATCTTTCTTTTTTGCCCTATCAAATACGTTGCGGGCAAAATTCACACATCCGCATTTGGAATACATGTCGACAAGAGATGTATTGACAACAACATCGTCTTGGTAGCTGCTGTTGGTAACATAATCTTCGATCCATCTTGCATGACCAAGAAATCTCAGTTGTGCACAAGCCATGATCGTAGACTGTATAGTTACGACATCAGGTTTGATATTCTTTGATATCATCTCTTGGAAAAGGTTAACAGCATCACTAGCTTGACCTTGTTTTGCATGACCAGATATCATGGCATTCCATAGAATCACGTCGCGAACCTCTACTTTGTTAAATAGATGTTTTGCAGTCCTAACTTGCCCACATTTTGAATACAAAGTTGTGAGCGCAACCTGCAAGTCTTGCTCAAACTCAATACCCATTTTGATCACCAGAGAATGAAGGCTCTCGCCGCTTTTCAAGTCCCCTATATTAGTATAAGCTGTCAGTACAGTAACAAGTACCACCCAGTCAGGCACCACATTCAATCCTCTCATTTCGCTGAATATCTTAAGAGCCTCAACAGGTTGTCCATTCTGAGAACACCCAGAAATAACCGAAGTCCACGAGACAATATTCCTGTCACGCATCCGGTCAAACGAAACACGAGCAAGATCAATCCTTCCACACTTTGTGTAAAATGAAACAACACTGTTTTGCACGAAAACATCAGATTCGAACCCTAGTCTAAAAGCCTGTCCATGAACAGCACAACCGACCTTAAAAGCCAGCAAGTCACCACATGCCTTAAGAACGTAAGGTAACGTAAAACTGTCGGGCCTTTCGAACACAAGTTGCATAGTTCTGTAAGTGTCAATGGCGTCGATAAAAAGACCGTGTCTTGCGTACCCTTTGATGATGGCATTCCACAAATACACATACGGGTCAGGAAATGCATCGAACACCTGGCGGGCATACCCGATTTCGCCAAGATTCGAGCAAACATGAATGAATTTGGCGAGTATAAACCCATTGTTTTGCAGGCCGGATAGGTATAACTGGGCATGGATTTGGTCTAGATGGGATCTGTGTTTCGAGTTTTCAAGAAACCAAGAGTGATATGACTCCGGACATGTGAATCTGCTGGGATGATGATTTGCGTTTGAATAGGGTCCCCAAGAAGAGAAAAAAATGTGCAGATTGGATAATCTTGAACAAAAATGGAGAGGAATTATAGGGTAAAGAGAGGGAAAGGAAAGAACTTGGAGGTTTTGGAGTGATAGTTTAATAGAGAGATACAGAGCCATATATTTGGCGATACATCATCGATGGGGCGGGACAGAATAACTGATTTTTCATGCCATTGGACACGACAACTCTATTATTCAAAAGGGTCATGCTACACTTACACCACATATTGTACACCATTTGTACACCGCAGGCATACACAAATATTTTGATGGTTTGTACCGACACAAGTGTTGGTGCGTTAACAAAAATTTACACAGACACAAAAGGTTTGTGCATTAACAAAAATTGGTTTTACACCAACACAGAGTGTTGGTGCAAACCTATAGGGTATAAAGTGGGGTACATTAGCTTTAATCTATTCAAAATGACACTCTCTCCATCTCATAATTATTTAAAATTTGTCCTTATCATCATTTCTCTTTGCTTTAAATAAACCACAATCTCACTATTTCTGATTTATTAAAAGAAAAAAATGAAAATTATCTCAAATAATCATATTTTTTCACGATTTTTTAAAAAATAATCTCATTTTTTACTATCACCGGCAATAATTCCACCTTTTTGCATGTGTGTACGTTTTGGGTCGCTGTGAAAAAGTTATGGTCACTTAACGAAATTTTTCAAAAATGTCTATTTTCAGAAATAAAAGAAAGGTGAGATTATTTTATGTAAGTTACTTTTTTTTAATTTATAATTTATAATTTAAATGTATTTTAAAAAAATATTTTTTATAAATAATAACAAAATTATGTGTTATTTAGGGTGAAACTAATTACGAGTAATTTTTTCAGTAATCGATAATCTGGTAATAATTGAACAAAAAATTATTCCATACAATAGATTTAATTCATTTATTTCATAACTCACTACATTTTTTGTAAGTTGCAGCTATTTCTCTAGAGTCACACTTCGAATCATTTTTTGATTATTAATTTTTAAAAAAATGGCACTACAAAACTTGTGAATACTTTTTGATAATTTGAGTATAAAAATAAAATTTCCATTTTAGAAAAAAATTATTATGTTTTTTTCATAGCTGTTGTAATGTTGTTTTGAAAAAGAATTTATATAGGAGCTACATTTTTTGTTATATTACAATTTTTTTCATGAACAACACTCTGACATATTTATTGATAATATTCTATTACCCGTATTATTTAATCTAAAATGGAACTACCTAAATTGTGGTTTATTCGATAATTCACTACAATTATTTTCTCCTAAACGACACTAATTAAATTTATAACTCACTACCATTTTTTGCAATGTAATTTTTTCCTTGAGCAATACACTGAAATATTTTTCGATAATCCAATATCATCTTTCTCTCCCAGAATGGAAAAACAAATTTCTAATTCGTTAAAATTTTTAAAAAATAATTGAGACAAATCTCTAACAAGAGTGTACTGTTATATTCTTAAAAATATAAATTTAAAATTTAAAATTTAAATTTAAAATAAAATAAAGTAAAAAGTAAATTTTCCTAAAATAATATCACATTTCATTTATTTATAAAAACACAGACATTTTTTAAAAATTATGTTAAGTGGCCGTTAGCTTTTTAACGGCAACTCAAAACTCGCACTCATGCGGAAAGTTGTGACTATTTCCGATGACAGTGAAAAGTAGAATTATTTCTTAAAAACGTGAAAAGATTAGATTATTTAAGATAATTTTTTATTAAAAGTTCTGCAAAGATATTTGTGACCAATATTTGAATATGGTTGCTATATTTTTTTAATGTGGAAATTCCTTAGATATGAATAAAAAATATTCTGTGTGAAAATATGGAGGATTAAAATAAGAGCTTTAAGTCCGTTATAAAAATGGAGTTTACACCGCATACTCACTATATTGTCACGTTACAATTATCACACTATCACTGTAAATCTGTAATGCTGCCATTTGTCGATGCCAGAGTATCGCCGGTTGCGGACTTGACCGGTCATCAAATCGCTGTCATATTACTGACACTATCATCATTTTTTCGTTACAGTATCAACAATTTTACATCACAGTATGTCAGTATCATTCCACTTTTATTTTGGTGATTAAGCAAGGTGAGTTCTATTTTAGCATTTTAATTATTAATGTTTTACTCAACCATTTACAGTTCATAATAATCCTTGAATATTTAGGCCATTATTGTACACATACTTTTGTTTTGAAACTTTCAAACCCTAACTTAACTAATTAACTCCGATCCAACTTTCAAAAAAAAAAAAAAAAAACTCCGATCCATCTTCATCTCCATCTCCTTCAGGCAGGAGATAATATACTGATCGCAGAAGAGTGCGTTCATGGAAACTAGATCCGCCAAAAGGAAAAGGCTTCTATTGAATCGACTCCCCTCCTGCGGCGGCTCCGACCGTCTCAGTGATCTTCCCGACGCCGTCCTCCACCACATTCTCTCCCTCCTCCCCATCCAATCCGTCGCCCGGACCAGCCTCCTCTCCAAGCGATGGACCCACCTCTGGCACTCCTTCCCCGATCTCGATTTCACCACCGTCGGTCCCGCATTCTCCGACGACAATAATAATAATGGCAACTTCTCTTGGGTTGCCAACGGAGCGGAATCCGTGTACCGGGTCTTGACCCGCCGGGGACGCGGTTCCCTGTTGCGGGCCCTACGTTTCCGGGCCCGCGTCACCTTCTCCCGCCTCAACCGCCTCCTCCGCTCCGCGGTCAACCTCGACGTCCAGGAACTGGACGTCGAGGTCGCCACCCGGGACTTTCTCAATTTCCCGAGGAGCGTCATTTCGTGCGACACGTTGAGGGTTTTCAAGCTCAAGTCCCGCTACCCAGGCTTCCGCTTCCCGCCTTCCTCCGTCATGGCCCGCGGGTTCCAAGCCCTGCACACCCTGTCCTTGTCGCTCGTCGTTCTCGACGACCAACCCTCCCTCCTCGACCTCTTCACCGACCCCTCGTTCCCGAGGCTCAAGACGCTGAGCCTCGACAACTGCTGCGGCCTGACGCGTCTGGCCGTCAGCTGTCGGGCACTTGAGCACTTGAGCCTCGAGAATTGTCGCGACCTCAACTGTTTGGAGATCACGGGCTCAAAACTCGAGAGGTTGCGGGTCGAACGTTGTTTCGACCCGTGCGCCACTAACGACACTTGGGTCAAAATCGATGCCTCGAGACTCCAATCTATCATTTGGTCCGACAATACCATCGCCGACAAATGTTGTCTACAAAATTTAGTTTCACTCCGTGAAGCCTTCGTTGGTTTCTTCATCCGTTTTCAAGACCTCACTCACCTCAAGCTTCTCAGTGTCTCCCAATTTTTGTCCGGAATCGCCTCTTCCCGCTCTTTGGTTCTCGAATTTCTCTCGATCGAGGTAGTGTAAATAACACTATTTTTAAAATCACGCTACAGTCACACCAAACCCGAGACCATATGTTTTGCAACATACACACAAAGACACTATGCATGTCTGTGAAAAACATAGTGTCCAATTCTCGTGTTAAAATAGTACACTTTGAATTCTACTTTCTTGTAAGTAATGTATGTTATTTGACATCCAGATTCTCTCAAAGAACAATCACATATCGGGTGTTTCGCTAAGTGGTTTTGACAAGCTAAAATCTTTGGAATTGCACACAGTATTGGAAAAGCGTAACATTCCAGGATTGGCAAACCTATTCAAGACTGCTCCAAACATACACACACTTATAATAAAGATTGAAAGAAACGTTAGTTCACTCTACTTTTAGCACTAATTATATTGTGTTTGTTTTTATCGTTCTGTCCCCAGAACAGAACGTACACTGTATATTATAAGTTCTTGAGTTGAACTGGATGATCGATTTTCTCAGATGTACAAGAAGGACATGGAGCACGTGACGGCGATGGAAGGATTGTGGGAGTCACACAGAGAGTCGATGGGGTCGTTTTTGGAGCACGTAGGGGTGGTGAAGATCCACGGGGTTTCGGAAAGCGGGGACGAGATCGGGTTCGTGAAGTTCTTGCTCAAGTATGGGAAGTTGCTGCAGGAAATGGCGCTGTATGGAAGACGATGCAAATGGAGCGATTCTCGTCTGAGGGAAAACACCAAGTACGAAATATTGGGGTTTTCTCGTGCTTCTTGTCATGTTAAGATTGCTTTCTGCTAATTGTTCAATTATTTTTACTTAATGTTTGAAACACTAATATATATAGTACTCCATTATTGATTTCATCTTCATCACACATAGTATATGTGTTATGGTGGAACTTGACCGGACGTGATGGAATGTACCAGATTCACCCACGGTAAGAGGGTGGGTAGTGTAGATATATAGAAAAGAGCGTGTTATGAAGCATGTAAGCGGGAGTGACAAAAAATGATAGAATGAAAATATGGATTATTTAAATCAGTTGGGATTGATTTGTGTTAAATTTCTGTTGATTTAAAATTTTTAAAAAAATGAAAGAGGGGAGTCATGCCCGTGATGGCGGCGGCGCCTTGAAAGGCAACGCCTATTCACGTGATTTTTTTTTCCATTTAGATCGATTGTTTCACTGACCGATGCAAATGTGGTGATTATTAGGTCGTTTTTGTAGTAGTGCATACTCTTACGAAATTAATTGGAATTTTGCCAGTCGACCATTCATTGTAGAATATAAAACCCTAAGTTAAAAATTTTGAAATTCTTAAAAGTATGAAAAAGAAAATTCACTAATAGATTTATGACAGTCGACCATATATCTTTGTATCCATTTTGATTTAAGGATGGAGATTGAGGTCTTGAACTGAAAGAAGAAGCCAATGCCCAAGGAGGAGAAGACGGACCAGTTGAATTGAGAGAGCAAATCAGAGTCGTGAACGTGAAGAGAGTGAGCGTCTTCTCTAAACAAATGGGCTTTGGCATAAGGCTCTAATCTTTTCTTTTGATCGTTAACTCTTTATTTCCAACATTTTTAAATTCTTTCCAGTTTCTTTCAATTCTTTCTGGGTCTTTTAAATCCTTCAAATTTCTTCAAACTCCTTTCGATTTTTTCCAACTCCCTCTAATTTCTTGTAATTTCTTCCAGTTTTTCTAACTTTTCTAGTTTGTTTCAACTTTTTCTAACAATGACTTAAATTAAAAGATTGATTTAATAACTTAATTTATTAAAGAAGTATGTCCTTAATATAAATTTTCGTTACAATTATAGTCGCGTAGATTATTAAAACCTATTATCTAGGAAATAAAAACATAGAACTCATATTGTTGTACTTTCTCGATAATTTACTCCTATTTAGGGAATTTTTTCAGACCCTAATTATAATCTGAAGAAATTGGCATCATTTTTATGCCCTTTTTTTCTTTTCCCTCCTTATTTTGGAATATTGAAATTTTTGTAGATAAAAAAGAAACTATTAGATTTTAATACAACTCGAACTCTTGTAAGCACTGACCCCTAATTACAGTCTTCCTGTACTCTCTTCTCCGATTTGGCATTCCAAGTTCCTTCGCTACAAAAATTAATTTTACTTGTTTTGAATTATTACTCAGAACTCTGTTGTTTTGATATTAAAATTCTTACAAGTGATATATACTAAGTAATTATTACTCTGTTAGTAGTGTTAATTAGGTAATTAGATTAAAAAATACGGAGTACTTCGGTATTAATAATGTTTGGATAGTTAGATTCACAATATTAATTATATTAAACCAGTAATTTCCAATGCAAAACTAACATTGTTAGTCTTAGGTCATTTTTATATTTATTTTGAGATATATATAAAATGTGGTACATTGATTAGAGACATAGAATTGAAAAAATGAAAAATTATATTATTGATATAAAGTTTAAAAAGTATAGAAAGAGTGTGAGTCACAAAAAAATTACAAATACAATTTGCAATAAAATATAATGGCATAAAAAAAACATTAAAATTTTAAAAAGTGGAGTATACTTTTTTTAATAAAATATGAAGTTTATAAAATAAAATAATTGTTTAAACATTTTTTATATTTTTAGAACATTTATTTTTCAAACTCCATCCATTTTTTCCTAACTTTTTTCACTTTCTTCCCACACCTTCGAGTTTCTTGTAACTCTTTCAAGCTAGTTTTTTCAACCTCTTTCTAGTTTCTTCCAATTATTTCGAGTTTCTTCCAACTCCTTCAAATTTTTTCATACATCTAACTTTGTTTTTCCAACTGGAAAGAACAAAGTCGGAGTATAACACTTTTCCGATCTGAACCTGTAAATTTCAGTTTAAACCCGGATCGAAAACCCGGAATCGTTAATTTCCAAAAACCAAAGACAGAACTTGTTAAAGCCAGACCAGACTGGCCCAGTCCAATTCATTACAATTCAGGTCCAAAGTCTGGATTGGACCGCTTTTTACACACCCCAAGTTTTAACACTAATGTATATGGGACGTATATGGGCAAGAGAAATTTTCACCTAAATAGGACTAAATATAATAACTTTTCCAATATAGGACCATATGTTTTTATTTTTCAATGTAGGACCTTTGGTCATTATCAATTAGTCATTATTCAATTAAATGTCTATCATTATTGGACATTATTCCTCCCACTAGACATTATTAAGTCCTATTTAGGAAATAAAAAAGTTTAAATCCTATATTAGAAAATGACTTATGTTTTAGTCATATTTAGTATAAATTTTATAGGCAACAACTTTAATTTGCCCCGTTCTCAAGCTCTAACAGTTGGGGTTCGGACTCCGGAGACAGGCCACAAGGAAAGTTCACACGATCACTGTGTTTGAGTATGCCAAAATCTCACCTCCAATTCCCTCCCATCCTCTTCCCTCCCCTCCTCTCATTTTCAATCCCTCCAAATAGGAAGGAATCGTTCATTTGCCTAAACTTCAACTCACTATTCAAAGTGCTTCACGCTATATAGCCAAGCTTTGATTTGGAAGTGGAGTACTCCAAATGTTAAGTGAGTGAAAAGACAAGTACAGTCAATGCTAATTTGAGTGTAAGTAGCTGCTGATTTGGATTGAACAAAGGGCCGATCCAGAAATGTGAAAAAAAATTATATAGACCCTGCGTCAAATTTACGTGTTAGCCCCAATATTGCTTTGTACAAAATATTTGCACTTTAAAACGTGTGCTGAATTCGATTATTAATACTACCTCCGTCCCATTGTCTTTGTCCAGTTTTGACTTTTGGAACTGTTCATCTAAACACTTTGACTCATCAAATCTCTCAATGTGTAAGCCTAAAAATAGTCATGTGTGATCTTGTTTGATTCGACTTAACATATAGATTATTAATATATAATTTTTATAATTTTTTAATATACAAATTACAAGATAAAATGGATTAAAGAAGTGCATTGGATGGTGTGCCAAAAGGTAAGTGGACAAAGACAGTGGGACGGAGGGAGTAACAACTTTTGTAACACTTCGATAATAAAAATACTCCCTCCGTCCGGGAAAAATCTTCCCATTTGGACTTTTTCTCATTTTTTTGAATGGTTGACTTTGGAAGTGAAATGTCCAATATACCCTTTATTTCTTTCCTATTTTACAACCCCAACCCTGCCCTGCCCTCCACTCCCCTCCCCTCCCCTCCCCTGATCTCTGCCAGGGCTGGCACCCACCACCGCCATCAACCCCGGCTCCATCGTCGCCGTTAGCTCCGCCAAAATTGACCCAGCCCCAACCTCCGTCGTCGTCGCCTCTACCACAATTGACCCATCCCCTACCACAATCGCCCCTGAAGTAACCACTCACCATCAGCCGCACTATCCCTAGCCGCCAGCCCGCCACCATCTCTCCTCCAGGAGAAATAGAAAAGGGGAAGAGAAAAAAGAAGGGAAGAAGATGAGAAGAAGATCTAGTACAGATCTATCGTAGATCTGGAAGAGAGGGAAGAGAAGAAGAAGAAGAAAAAAGAAGAAGAAGAAGAAGAAAAATAAAAAGAGAGAGGCAGGGATCTGGAGAAGAATGGGGGGAGGGAGGGGAAGGAGACGAAGAAAAGAAGAATGAAAAAAGAGGAGGAAGAAGAGAGGAACGGATGGCAGAAAAAGGGAAGGAGAGAAAGATAAGACTTGTGTGGTGAGGATTTATGGGAGGAGAGAGAAAGGGGAGAGAAAATGTGAAAATATTAAGTGGCGGTATTTTTGGTAGTTAGTGTTTTAAAAATGGAAATGGCAAAAAGAAAGGGAGTATTACTTTTATACATTCAAAAGATTAAATTTAAAAACATCTAGTTCTTAAAATAGTGAAGATTGAATGATATTGTATCCCAAAAATTAAAGATCATGCACACTATTCGGGCCGCCATGAATGAAGGTTGATAGAACGCGAGACATGGCGCTCTGTGGAGTCTTCACAAAACGAAGGCTGGGTGGGCCCTCATCCCAGCAGACAGCTGTAAACCCGAAACGAAAAGAAATTGATTTTGCTGGTAGGACGTGAAATCCGCGGCGTGGTCTGGTTCACGTTCACCGTGTCGGCCCTTTATTTCTCCACGTCAGCAAATCCGGATCTTCTACATGGCTCTGTATCTGCCACGTCGTCTCCCGAACCCGGAAAAGATTCAACGCGAACCCGGAAACTTGAGGCCTTCATTTCTTCGCACGTCCTGGCCACAGCCCATCGGAAAATAAAAAATAAAAATTTAAAAAAAATTGAAAAGAATGCGTTAGGGTCCCACTCCGGATACAGAGGATACAAATTATGAAGGGGAATGAATGTATGATATAATTGGAATTTCTTATTATTATCATAAATTTCAAACCATCTTCTATGATAAATAATTATGTTTACATGCATATATTCATTTATTCTATAATAAAATAAATTATATTTTTTACACCTTATTTTATAGAATGTCGTTTGACATGTTTTAAGCAGTATAATTTATACTTTTTATTTAATACTAATTTATAAGTAGATTTATTTTACTCATATTTTCCCTCGAACGTTTTGTAATGTATTTTTCCCTTAGCACTTTAAAAATAGACTAGTACTTCAAGTGTATTTTTGAAAATAATGCATAGAGTAGTTGGCCCCTAACTCATTTTTCAAGTGATTTGAAGACATGCTTTATGGTACATCTATGAGTTACTTTTAAGTGTTTCGGAGTAATATTTTACATACTCTTCCCCCTAAAAGATTGTCACGATTTAACTTTTTTTATCAATATGTAATACTCTTTGACAGTAAAATATGGAAAAAATATACTCCGTATTTAGTTATAGCGTGAATTTAGTAAAATTGGGTTTACTTTAAAATATAGTTTTAAAATATTAAATTTTTATATAATTTAATTATTTTAAACTATTTTTAATTTGAGGTCAAAGGATAGCCTAAGTTTGATAAAAAATTCAAATTATAACAATCTTTTAGAGACGGAGAGAGTATTAGTTAGACCATTTGGTGTAAATCACGTCATCCCACTTAGCGTCATGTTTGTTTTTCTTTTTTACATCACACTCCTTCACATCATATGGGTATGCATGAAGCTCATCACGCCTACTTTTTTAAAGTTTTATTGAAACATACTTAAATAAAATAACTTAAAAGAAAAACATTAAATAAATATTTCACTAAAAGTCAAATTAAAAATTACATTGATATAATGCAAAAAATAAGAGTGATAGATGATGAAAAAAATACAAGTACTATGATAGATCGAAAATAAAAATAAGAGCGATTGTTATTTGTCCAATTTTGACTATTTTTAGTTAATCATTTTCATTCTTTGATCTATAATTAAGTAAAATATATATCGTATATTAATTAGATAAAAGAATATTTTGAAAATATTTTATATAATAAATCTAATAAAACCATTTTTGTATCAATATCTGATAAAGTTTAGGATGGGTATGGACAAATGAATTGGGCAATAAGACACTTGGTTTGAACCGCATTAAAAGATTGAATCCAATCGATTAATTAGTTCAACTCAAGAGCTTATATAGCGATTATTTTCCTCACACTTTTCCGATGTGGTATACTCTTAACAATATCTAATATCATTTTTATTTAATTTATTGTCAAAATTTACTAATTTTGATTGAAAAAAATCTAAAATGGAAAAATACTCCAAGAATACGGAAGTAATTAAGTAAAATTCCATACTAGGTAGTAAGTACTCCCTCCGTCCTATAATGTTCTTCTCATACACTTTTTACACGGACAAACTTTAATCACTTTCTTTACATATTTTCATTAGGTATTTGATAAAATAATATAGTCTTGTCATCACTTATTTTGTAAAACTTTTGATGTAGTTTTTAAATATATAATTTTTATTTTTTAATTTTACACCTACAATCAAATAAATTGAATTGAAAATAAAGTCAGTCAAACTTCGTAAAATGAACCGGGAAGATCATTATAGGACGGAGGAAGTAATATTCAAACAGCTATACTAGTCCCAATTATGGACAAACGATCATAGGCCACAAACGGGGTGAGAGAAGGTGTAATGAGGTGCGACGTTTTACTAGGAGTTTGGAAAGAGTGAAACGTGTACACTTGTTGTTACTGGCCACGCCAAGCGTTTATTATATGTAGTGTTTCCCTTTGTATTTCTGACACCTGGCACTCCCTCTTCCCATTCAACTTCACTCTTCCTCTTCCCTACGAGTCCCCCTTTCCTCCACTCCTTTAGGCTTTGTTTGGGAATATAATTTCTCATAAAGAAATATCATGCTAGAAATCCATCACGAAGACAATCAGAAGTGATGGTATACATATATTAAAAGATAATTATCGTTTGTATATGTATAAATCATGAGTGATAGATTAACTATTATCCGTGAAGGCACCCGTAGCGATTTTCTAACATTTTTGGTTCAATAAAAGACAGAGCTAAGGCCTAAGGGGGATAGGGCCACGTGCCCCACTGAGACGATTCTAAAAAAAATATTGCCTCTATTCTTGAATATTTGCCCAGTTTAAACTTTTTTCATTCAACTATTTTCAACCTTTGACCTATAATTAAATAAAATATATATTGTAAATTAATTAGATAAAATAATATTTTGAAAATATTTGATATATTGAAACTATTTTTTATCAATATTTTATATGTTTTTAATTAATATGAAGTCAAAGTTTACTAATTTTGGCCTAAAAAAAATTAAAAATGGACAAATACTCGAGAAAAGAGAGAGTAAATCAGTTGATTTAAGTGATTTTGACAATAATAATGCGTGGTTGAAACCTTTAAAAGAAGATGATGTCTTCAACACATTTTAGTAGTCGTGTCAACTGAGGCGCGGGAAAAATATTTTGGCGAGGGAGTTATCATTTATTCTTTTTCTATGTAATTTTGCATGTTTTTATACAAATTTGGATAAAGACGTTCAACAAAGAGAAATTTTTAAGGTTTCAGTCATGAACCATTTTTTAAATCATGAACCATTTTTAAAATATAGAACAAATGACGCATTTTAAAAGATCGGGGGAAAAATACACAAAAAGTATATATAGGAAATACATTTTTTGAATTTTGAAAGTTTGAGGGAGGATGCATTTTATAAAGAGTTTGGAAGTACACAAGCTTTTTATAAAAATATAGAGACTAATGGTAAACGTTTGAAAGTTTGACGGGAAACATACATTTCATGAAAGGTTTGGGAATTAATCATGCTTAAAATTCTTCATTTTAATTTTATTTAATACTCCATCCCGAATTAATCAGTACATTTTCTTATTTTAATTGTCTGACAAAATTAATTCTACTTCATCACTTTTTTAAAAAAACAAAAACATCTCCAACTAAATACTCTCTCCGTCTTACAATAAATTTCACTGTTATCATTACAATCTCTCGATAACTTTTGTTTGTTAGTATGTTTTCATTGATTCTTTGATAAAATAAAATATTTTTATTAGACTTTTGATATATTTTTTAGAAAATAAAATTTATATTTTTTATTTTTATATTAATTTTAATTAAAATAATTTTAAAAATGATAAGATTTTACATGAACAATGATTTCTATTTTCGGATGAGGGAGTATGAAATCTTAACCAACAATTTAACTTTATTTTTCTCTTACTTTTGACCAAATAATTACAACCAATATTAAAATTTTAGGGTCGATTTTCGGGCAGTAGAGCACTTACAACCAGAGCTCCGTTTCTGCCGCACCGCATCTCCATTGTTAGATGTGGCGCGGCATTCCTGCTGCGGTACTGCGCCGGTCCCCATACGGCGTCCGTCTATTGTGACGGCCCGCCGCGCCACTTGCATTTTTTTTCCCGACTCTATTGCAATGGTCATCCATTGCAATAGGGCGCGGTGCTAGGGCTGGGTTGGAAAAACCGAAAATCGAAAACCGAACCGAAATCGATCGAAACGAGCTAGAAAAAAACCGAATCGAAAAAACCGAAACCGAATGTAAAAAACCGAACCGAACCGTTAATGTTTGGTTTCGTTTTGGTTTTCACTTTGAAAAACTAAACCGAATAAACCGAACTATCTTAGATATTTCGCTTAATTTATATGAATATATGTGATATGTAAAAGAATCATAGAAATATAAATGCAAATAAATTACATCGATTAAAGTTATTTTCTTATCTATTAATTAAACATTCTAGCCATATTATTATAAACTTTAAAAAAACTTAAGAATATATATGAACACCAATAACTAATCCTAATATAGAATTATATTAAGATTAAAAATTGATACGCGTAATTTACATATTTACATAAAAAATACTTTGATGTTATAATGAAAATGATAGTATTATACAAAAATATAAATTCTTCGTAATTGATTTTAGATATGATGTCTTTGAAAGTATTTGGAATCTTCTAAATGTTTGTTGGGCACACTCAACACATATTTCTTATGTAAAATTGAACTAAAAGAAACAATAACCTTCCGTTTGAACTAAAAGAAACAAAGCTAACACTACATATTGTTATTGTTTTATCGAGTTAGTGTTTTTACAATTTTTTAATGCTTATAAAATTCTACTTTTATAAACCGAAAAAACTGGAAAAAAATGAAATAAAAACTGTATAAAACTGAACCAAATAACCAACGGTTTACATATTTTTTATGCAAAAAACCAAACCGAACCGCCAATTTACCTTCTGTTTTATCTTTGGTTTTGAATGAAACCGAACCGCCAAAACCGAACCCACCCTGCGCGGTGCAGCTCTTTTTCCTTGTGGCGAGGCGGTTTTCGGCCCTCCATTGTAAATGCCCTTAGGTGTCCATTTTTTGAAGGGGCAAAGGGAGTATGAAATCTTAATTGAAGAATGAGGGACTATTTGTGTAAAACAAATGCAAAATGACCCCACTCTATTTCTCCAAATTAACCTAATCCACACACACACACAAAATTTCTGATTTTATTTTGGTGGACTAGTGGTTTCAAAGTTTCCATATATGGCTTCAATTCAATTCCTCTATCTCTTCTCACAGTTGTAACTTTCCTTCCTCATCTTGTCTCACTTCAGTGTAGCAGACGGAGGAATTGAGAAGATGAAGATCTGCGCGCTGTGCAAAGGCATGGCGAGGCTCTATTGCGATTCCGATCAAGCGAATCTGTGCTGGAGCTGCGACGCCCAGGTCCACTCGGCGAACTTTCTGGTGGCGCGGCACTCCCGCCGCCTGCTCTGCCACGGCTGCCAGTCCCCCACGCCCTGGTCGGCTTCCGGTTCCAATCTCGGATCTACTGTTTCGTCGTGCGAGAGATGCTCTCGAGGCGGAGATAGAAGCGGCGCTGAGGCGGGAGATGAGTGCGAGGACGATAACGGCGAGGAAGATCAGGAGGAGGAAGGCGATGACGAGGAAATGGAGGCCGAAGAGGAGGAAGAAGAGGCGGATTTGGATGATGTTCAGGTGGTTCCGTGGTCATCCACGGCGCCGCATCCGCCGCCGGCGGATACTTCATCGAGCAGCGATGACTCGTTTTCAGATCTTGATCATCGGGTGACTGTTCTCTCTCTGGCTTAATTTTTGCAGACTCTTCTCCTAATAATCTCTATGATTTACTTGTTCACATATTGCGTCTCACCATTTTCGTTCTCTTAAACCTGAATTTCATCTTCCGTTTCTATAATTCCTTTCTGATTTTCATGAGATCCATTTCTAAATTATCTTCTTCTGAATAGGACAGTCGCCGCCGTTCATCCTCCCCGCCGGCGGCTCACAGGAACGGCATTGACTTGAACGAAGAGATTTCAACGGGGCGACCGGCGAAGCTGCAAAGGACAGACGCTACCCGAACGGGTCGGGTCGAAAGATCCGATACGAGATTCTCGCTTACAGTTGACGCGCTAGCGCGATTCCATCGGCCGGGAAGTCCTGGAGATCGCACTACCGTAAATTTCGACTTCTCTGAAAGTTCGTAGCCGCTGGGGGCCCCACTGGGTTTAACAGCCATTCTCCATCACCAATTATATATGTCCTGTATCTTTTTAAATATTTTTTGTTTCTTCACTTTTTTTTTTGTTTTACAATAATCCGATTTACACACCATTTAGCGGTGTATTCAATCCTGATTTTATAAGATTCTGATAGATTGTTTAGAATCTGTTGATTCTTTAAAGTCCATGGATTATTTAGAGTTTATGCAGAGTTAGGTGGATTTTACTGGATTTTATCACCAAGATTTCATAGGATTCTAGTAGATTATTTATAATCCATGAATTATTACATTTGAATTATTTTGAAAATTCATACTTTACTCTAATATTAATTATATTTATGAAATTGATAAAAAGATTAAATTAAAAACTAATATAATAAAAATAAAAATAAATTATTTTTTAAACATTATTATCTTATTATAAAATTATTAGCATAGAATAATGTATTGATCATTGTCATAAGCAATAAATTTGTTTTGAAATTCAAAACATTATTTTCTCTAAACAATTTTTCATGTATGTAAAATTTTATCAATAAAAAATAAAACACAACACAAATGATAGATGACATTACTCAAAAATTCAAAGAAATATTAAAAATAAAATTAGTAAATAATATAGCTCTCAAAAACAATGTAATAAAACACGAGTACTCTTAACTTTGAACCAAAACAAAGTCACATAACACATTAAAAATAAATTCACATAATCCTTTCATTCATCCTAATATATCTTCTTATTTTATCCTCTCATCTTGTGTTGTATCCAACTTAACCGTTCTTCAGGTGACATCTTCAAGAAGACATATTTTTTCCTTTGTTATCAAGCAACTCAACCGCTTTAAACTGGGTGTCCTCATCTAAGCCCGGGGTATCCTTGATGGCATCCCAAATTGTATATTCTCTCTCTCTTTCTCTTTTCTCTAGCAAGCTATAGATTCCTTTGAAACTTGTAGATATTTCATTTAGCCTTTCCATGACGCCACTTTCTTCATATGTACTTCTATTTCTTTTGGTTTGTGTTACTTTTTGCATGGGAACCTCATGACTTTTAGAAGATATGGGCGGTGATGTGGACGGAAAAGGTGGGTCACTTTGAGGTTGGCTTATGAATGCATCATTTTCCAAGTCATAATCAAGGTCATCTATATGCACATCTCTCCCTTCTTCCGCGCCTAATGTCCTTGCATCAGTTGTACTACCTAACCCAATTGAGTGTTTTCCAACAGCTACACCATTACCTATTGTGATTTCCAAGTCTTCATAATCATGAAATGTTCCATAGCGTAATCTGTTGTTATGTTTTGGATGAGCCTATAAAACAACATAAAAACAAATTTATTATTGCATTACATCTATCAAAAGATTCATCTATTCAAATACTTTGTCATATAATATACTTACCTTGAAATAATCTGCCTATACTTCATCAGTGGCAGTGAACATCTTTGTAGTTGAGTTAAACCCAAAACCAGAGCTAAAACGCATAAGCTCTGAATAAGCGTTCCATTTATTTTTAAACCATTTCAATCCGCTTTGGTAATTGAGATAGTTCTTGTTACACCCTAGTCTTTTATTAAGCTCGGGAAGTATCCTCTCTTCCACTGTTTGCTTAGAAAAAATACCACTATTATCACGCCATCCTCGAGCAGCGGCATCCACCATGAGCTCTAACAGTACATCACTTTCTTTGGTTGTCCATTGCTCATATCCTCCTTTTTTTTTGGTATCTTGTTGTTGATCACTCATGATTATATTGCTTTGAAAATAAAAAAAAAGTATATATGAAAATGCATAAAAAAATGCAACATAAAGAGTGTGTAACATGTTCTAAAAAGATGGTATCAATGTGAGATTCCGAAAATACTATATGAGTTAAAAGGGGATTGAATTTGAATGAGACAATTTTTTAAGTATCACATGTTTGTTAATTATGATAGGCAAAAACACAATTGAGGGCAGATTGCATGCCTTTCAAGGATATTTATCAAGGTTATCTTCTGAGCTTATTCAACAAATAGTAATTTCAATGGTTTCTGAAATTTGGGGATATTTTTGTCCAGCCCACATTCTCACTGCCTGTGACATCTCATGTGTATGCAAGGGAGACAACATAGAGCTTAGGGTGGAGTTAGAATACGAGTGTCTAATGAGACAACTGAAAAATATGGCATTTTTTTTTGTAATACCAAGTCTCAGGACATCTCAACAGGAACTTTTTTTCTCTTATTTAAAGGCCAAGCCCAAATACAGAGTGCAACAAGAGTGACGAATTGACTCTTTTGATAAAAAAAATAAAAAAATTAAGAAAAAAACAGATTGAAGAGGAGATAACAAATATGCAATTCTCAAGCCGGAAGACCATATCCATACAAAAAAAATACATAATAAAAAAGAAATTCATTATAGTTTATTGGAGATAGAGAAATCTTACCGTGAAGGCTTGGCGACGATAAAATATCAGTTTAATTTTAAAATTTTAAACTAATACTTTGTGTCAATATGAGCAATTAAAGTATTGGTGTAACTCGTTGCTGTACAACTTGGTGTATATCGAGTCGTGTACACCTAACAATGGTTAATTTTTTTTTTAATTTGTTTAATTTGTACCTCAACTTCCTCATATATTGGAGCGGGAGTACCTTGTATTTTTTTACGAGTAAATTCCATAATTGGTCTTTTATAACAGGGGAGTTTCCCTATTTAGTCCTCTATTGTCAAATATTACCCTAGTGGTCCTTCTTTTATGGGTATCTTTCCACGAATAGTTCTTTTTTTGATCTTCAATCATGTTGGTGTTTATTTGAGGGCTAAAAAAGTAATTTCATAATGATAATATATCTTTTTTGTCATACACAATTCTAAAGGCTGTTTCATTTGCGTTGTTTGTGAATTACAGTCGCTTTCTACTACAACTATAGTCTACAAATGTGGTCTTTCGTCGGAATTTTAGCCCACAATCATAGTCATTATTTTTGTGTTATCCGCATAACCAATATCAGAACACATCACTAGACATAATGTTGATGTCAAATTATACTTTTAGCCTTTAGATTAACACCAACATGGCAGAAGATTAAAAAAGAACCATTTGTGGAAAGGCACCCCTAAAAAAAGAACTATAAGGGTAATATACTAATATTTGATAATAGAAGACTAAATATGGAAACCCACATGTTATAAAGAACCAATTATGGAATTTACTCTTTTTTACGGATAGATCTTGACACTAATATTCCAAAAATTACTTTAATTCATGTTTTATGCCGTGAGTATTGATGTGAAATTACTATCTATTAAATAAAATCTATATATCCCCATTTTACTTCGTACAAATAAGAATATTTCATTCCAATGACTTCAACATGGATTACTCTCTATTAAATTTATAAGGCCGTGTAAAGCCCTCCCCTTTCCATTCCCTCTTGGGGGGGGGGACGTGTTCCTGCTGGCTGCTGCTTCCCGTCGCCCCTTCCCGTGGGCGTACCACACGGCCTTATAAATCATTCCAATGACTTCTTATTACAATACACATTCTCTAATTATAGATCATTCCTTATGGGTTCAAGCCTGACTAATGTTCTTCTTAGTTACTCCGTACTTTAGAGCTATCTTTGTTCGATGTTATATCTCTAGGAATATTAGAATAATAATATTACGGTTTTTACTTAAGAAAATTGAATCTAATCGAATAAATCAAATTTTCTTAAGTATATGTGGTATGTAAAAGAAATCATAGAAATATAAATGCAAAATATTGACTAATCGATTAAATTTATTTTCTTAGCTATTAATTAAACATTTTAAACTATATTATAAACTTTAAAAAACCTAAGAATATATACATCAATAACTAATCCTAATACAGAACTATATTAGCATAAAAATTGATACAAGTAATTTACATAAAAAACTATGATATTATAATCGAAATGAAAGTATTATATCAAAAAACACAAATTCTCTGTCATTGATATTTACATACAATGTCTTTGGGAGTATTTGGAATCTCCTAGATATTTGTTGGGCACTCAGCACATATTTTTTTAAGTGAAATTGAACCTAACGGAGCACTAGCCTTCCTTTCGACTTTTAGTTGTGTAAAAATCAAACCAGAAAGCTGAACTCGATCCTACATATTGTTATAGTTTCATTGAGTTAGTACTTTAACAATTCTTTGATGCTTATAAATTTTTACTTTTATGAATCGAAAAAACCAAAATAAAAACTGCATAAAACCGAACCGAATAACCAACGATTTACATATTACGTAGTATTTTATACAAAATCAAAACAAACCGAACCACCAACTTACCTTCCGTTTTGTATTTGGTTTTGGGTGAAAACCGAACCATCAAAACCAAACGCTCCCCAGTTCTCGTTCCCTAAACCTCATTTAGATCCCACCCCAACCCCCAAGGTATCCACTAATTAATGTCAAACGAATGGGGAGCATTGAAGTGGACTCCACATCTCCTTGTGGCGTAAAATGGCGATGGCCCCGGGTTCTCTTAATGTGAGGTTACGGTTTCATTACACAACAACATTTCAATTCTGATATGAAATCTTATGTTAGAAGGGGGGAATAGTACTCCTACCTATTTTGCACTCCGTGGTTTGTTATGTACTTATGTGCAGTGTAAAAACATTATTGAGGGGCAACTTGCCTTCAAAACTCCGTATGATTTATGAAGGAAGGCCATTAGTGACCACACATTATACTTTTGAATAGTGTAGATGACAATCTTTTGTCTTATGACCAAATGATTCATTTTTGTCAAAATTAAAGGGAAAAACTTGGGTGTATCCATGTGTGTACACCAAGTTCCTCATAGACAAACACAAACATCAATTGTCTATATGTCACACAGACAGTTAGTATCTGTTTGTGTTTGTGAGAAGCCTAGTGTACATCTGGTGTACATCACTTGAGACACACCTAACACACCTCAAATTAAATACCCTTTTCGTCCTACAATAGATGATATTCTCCAAGCAACGTGCAAATTTTACTATTTTTAAAATTATTTTATTTATAAATTGATATGAAAATAAAATATATAAATTACATCATTCAAAAGTACATAAAAAATTCTACAAAATAAGAGATGATAATAAGATTCTATTTTATCAAATGACGAATGAAAAGATACCAAAAATAAAAGTTATCGACATGTCATAATAATAACAAGGGCATCCATTTTTAGACGGAGAATATATACATATATTAATTTATTAGTTGTGAAAGTGACAAATGTTATTCATAACTAATTGCTATACATATATACATACAAATAATAAGAATATTTTTTTCATGTATTGAAAATAACAAATTCTCCTAAAAAATGATTATATTCAAAATATTTAACACTCTTCTTAGACATATCATCATTCATTACACACTATAAACATTATACTATTGGACAATGTCTTCTCCGTTCATCAGGGCATATACTAATAATTTTGCTAAGGAAACTCGGTGGGTGAAAAGTTAGTCAAAGGAAATTGATCGATGTCTTTCAATTTATGGAGTCCGATCTTTTGGGTGAGCTGCTCAAAACTATTTCTAGGTAAAGATTTATAAACTGGTTTGCAAGGTTTTTGCTTAACCTGATCTGAGGAACATTAATCTCTCCCTCTTTCTGCAAGTCATGTATTGAGAACTTTGGCGAGACAAGTTTGGCATGATCCTGTTCAAGTAAGGTCGTAAGTTTTGCATGATCTATCTCCTTTAATGTAGCTTTAGCAAATATGACTTGAATTAGAAAGTCAATGTCTGTTAGATTAGGAAACATGTAAAGGTAACCATCAATATGATTCCTAGTTGTAATATGAACATGAGATAGTGGGTCTCTTAGTAGTATAAATAGGACCTTTATGAGGTTAATAGTGTGTGATGCACACCAATTGTATTCGGCTTCTCTTATGAAATAAAGGTTGTTCTTCTGTAAACTTGTGTGTTTTAATATTTCCGATGTCATTGTGAGGTTGAGCATTCATAACAAATTGGTATCGGGCGAGGTTGCAAGAAAAAATTAGTCACCCTATTTTTTCGGATATGAACCAACCCAGATTGCTGCCAGTTCTTCTTCGATTGCACATAGAGAAATCAATGCCACTACCAGTGTCAGCCCCCGTTCCATGTCTCTTTGCTGCCCTCCAGATCGTCGAAGTCGTTGTCACTTTCGATCTGAAAGTTTGAAGATCGCTGCCATATTTTTCAATCAGGAGTTGAAGCGCAGCAGAAAGAGCCCAGGGATTTCCGCTGCCTTAGAGAACCATGCGTGTAAGGGAGAAGAACCGCAACAGGGAATCGTTCCAGTTTGCTGGTTTTTTTCTGTGCGAAGGAGGTGCAGAATCAGCAAAGGATCCAGTGCAGTCACCGTTTTTGCAAGAACTGATTCCAATCTTTGGCTTATACTCTACCAAGAACAATGTTCGGATTTATTATGAACATTTAGAAATTTATACGAAGGAATATCATCAATCTGTGGAAGATCAAGATGGAGGTCTTGCTCCAAACATAAGGCATATGGACACTTTGACCACCGACAAGGGAGGCAATGATGTTGCATCAATGGACTACAAATCGATGAAGGAGAGGGCATACAAGCATCGCGTTACGTTTGTTAGAGGACGTGATTGTGTAGGTTGTAGGGAAAGAAGGCTACCGCTTTGTGGCTCAGGTTAGAAAGCCCCTACATGACAAAGAGTCTTACTAGCAAGCTGATGTTAAAGCAATAGTTGTTAGAATGATATACAAGAACTGTATACAACATTTTATCATTAATAAAGACATCACATCTCTAGAAGAGGTGCAGTCAGCTCTGCACTCTAGAGAGATACGCCAAAGAAGACAAGCACGAGCGCGGAAGACTATGCTTCTAGATTGATGACAACAAAGGGAAACAAAGGTAACAAGAAACACTTGTTTGATAATTGTGTTTTTAAAATCCAAGCTCAACTCGAAATTGTGTATTTTAATTATGTACACGATACGATATTATATGCACATGTGAATAAATTACGAGACATAATTAAGCACTATAACTCACTTACCCTAGGCATATTTTTATTGCATTTATTTTGGAGTAAATTCTCAAAATAGTCCTTTGTAATCAAGTGTTTTCCCAAATCAGTTCTCAATAAGTTTTAGTTACCTATGTGGTCCTCTATAATTGAGATTTATTCCCAAGATGGTCATTCGTAAATAATGTTACTCAAATTAGGATTAATTGAGGGTATTTTGGTATTTTTTATCCGCTAAATTTAGAAGTAATTCTTAAAATGATCATATATAAAGATGTGTTTTCTCAAAATGGTTTTTTCTAATTAAAGATGTGTATTTGATTTGAAATTTAATTTTTTTTATAAGTTTTAAATAATTGATGAATTATTTATAGTCAATGTATATTTTCAATTTTACATTTAGTTGTACATAAATAACTATTTTGAGAATATACTTTAATTTGGATGATCAAAATACCAAAATATCTCTCAATTAATTATCGTTTGAGTAACATTATTTACGACGGACTATCTTGAGAATAAATCTCAATTATAGAGGACCATGTAGGTAATTAAAACTTATTGAGGACTAAATTGGGAAAACACCTAATTACAAAAGACTATTTTGGAAATTTACTCTTTATTTTGCATGCACTTATAATTAATTCACCTTTTATTTAGATTTTTATATCTATGATACTACTTGTATAATTTAAACCGACTTGGATCAAGCCTTGGTAACACCACCTTTTTTGTGGATAGGCATACAAGCCCATTTGATTGGGCCGAGATGAGTCTAACATGGACATAACAATTCTTATTAATTATTGCTCTTTTTATCTCGATTTAGCTTGCCCGATGTTGTTTACAATATTTGACTGAATTTAATTTTAATTAAATGTTTTGAAATTTGGACTGCAATTAAAAAATAAAATTTTTATATTTAAAACCACATCAAAAAATTACAAGGGAAGCTAGGGAACATGTTAGTAAAAAAGAATGTGAAATTTATAAAACGAATGGTTTAAGCGGGCTTTCTATGAGGTTAACATACGTCTTGTAGCAGGGTAAATTAAGTGATTAAGTTTTAACCCTATAAATAGTAAACATACAATGTCTCCCTTGTGATTTTGAACAACCCAACCGAACCGAACTTTAAGACAAATGGAACTCTGAATGTCTTTTGACCTAAAGAAGAAACAAAGGTCTGTTCTTTGCAGCAACTCAACTGAGTTTGATAGGCGCCCCACAAAGTTTTTCTAGTTCAGTCTCTAAGACGTTGATCAACGTTTCTTTGGTTCGTCTATAGATCCAAGCTTCGGATATCTGGTCCCAATCAAACCTTGACGGACCACTGCAGTTTCCAAAAGAAAATGCATGCATGTATTTAGCATCTCCCTTACCCAAAATCTAATGGTAGAAACATGGAGAGAAAAACAAGAAATTCAATCGAAATCATGTGAGTTGTAACTCTAAAATGACTAGTTTTAATTTCTGTTTGATAACCCTTTTTTTCGTTCATCAACCAATACTGCATCCATTGACTCAATTGAGTCAATTGACAAGTGAAAAACATAATACAGGATTACGTTGTTATTGTAAAGGCTGATAAAAAGATAAATGCAAGTAATGCCACTTACACTCTCAACCTTTAGATATTACGCAGTACTACATCTTTTATATTACTCCATATTAAAAGTGTATTCTAAATATTGTTTTTATGATTCAGCTCAATCAACCCATTCGGTCAATTCGATCACAATACCAGGACATAAGCTCATTTGGTCATTTCAGACATTTTTGAAGGATGAACAATAGGTAAGTACCTCACTGGCGATGACAACCATATTTGCCTATTAGGCGTTTGTTTGTTGATTACATAGGTTCCCGAACTTCCAAGCTTTAACGTGAGAACTTCATTCTGTAAATGGAACCCAAACTTTATAGTATGTATATTAACATATACTAACCATGAAACAGAATTTTGTCCTGCTTACCCCATAGTCAACATCAAAACCATCAATGTCTATTAAATCACCATATTCCTGTCCTCAAGAGGAAAATGATTGACAATGAACAATTCACAATATTATTGCTACAAAAAAAAAAATAACCAAGTGGCAGAAATGTTCAACAGTTACCTCCAACTTCTCAAGGAGGTGATGGATGGTAGAATTGGCCAGCCTGTGATACTCATCTTCCTCCAGCAACAAACTGTACATATACTCCGTATCAATTTAGTACAATAGTAGACACCGTGATCCTCCTTGCTAGGTAACTAAAAACTTGTTCTCACAACTCTCAAAGTGATTATTTTTATCGACAACTGCCATACTTGAACTCGGTGTGTGACATTATGGAGAGAAACAAGGGCCCAAACTCAATCCATATGGAAAACCATACGGTTATAAACCTAGAGAGAGTTATTTACCTCTATATTTAAATATTTTAAAATTTGAACAACACATCCCCTAGAGTTGCATTCTTCTTTTCTATAGCCTTTGTCATCTTCTTTAACAAAAACAACAACCCAATAGAATCCCACAAGAGCACGGTCTGGGAGGGTATGTGTACTAAAACCTTACCCCTACTTGAAAGTAGAGAGGCTATTTTCAAGCCTGTCTTCTATTATTTATGCCCCAAAACCTAGAATCAACCAATATTGTACACAAGAACACAAACCGCACCTGACTATACATCCAGCTTCATAAGTTGAAAATTTTGCAGTTGCAATAACAATACAAACACCATCCTTAAGATTAAAATCAGTACAACCTCTTTGTTCAAATTGTAATCCTTTGAGGCATTAACGAATTAACATTTGAATAGAGTAATTCGTTAGGTAGTAATCCTTTGAGGCAACATTTCTATTTACAACTCGTTGCAGTATGTGGACACTAATATACATCAACCAGAGAGTTCATATAATACATATGTTTTTGTAAGGGCTCTGCTACAAAGTTGGACATACTACTTGTCAATTAATGTTTTATTTCCTTCTCACATAAATAAAATTTTACCGAACCATGCTTCCGACATTTTTTGTATCCATACTAATCTATTCTCTCATTGTGTATTTCTCGTTAGAGTTAGTTGAAAGATTAAAACCTCTCCTATGTTAAAAGATTTTAGTTTGAACTTGTTTTCGCAAAATTTCATCAACCAAACAAATAAATAACCCACATTAGGAGCAGAAAATAAATTGAGCACTTACTGGTAATCGGTTGTTGTTGGACCTTGAGATCCCTTATCGAGTGGAGAAGTGTGGGAACAGATGTTATTAGATGGTTTAAACACAAATAATTTGGATCCATAGCTTGAAGGTTCTCGAGCATTACTATACACAGCAGACAAAGATGAGGACAGATACGACCGTCGTGTTGAATAACATGATTGAGGCGGATGTCTAAATGCTTTCCATACTATTCTTCTCAGTAACATGAGGTTCTTCGAAGAAGAAATAGAAACCATTTCCGATTTTGCACCTTTGGGTCAGCAAAATTCTTGCTAGACAATTGAGTTAAAATGCATAACTCAAAAGAAAAACAACTTTTCACTCCTGCCTTTAGCCAAGCTGAAATAGAAGGGGGGAAACACTAATTGATATATTGTCTTTCATAAGACACATGTGAAGTTCATCCAGCATAAATTCCAGACAAAAACTTAGAATTGGATCTGAAGAACGATCGAATTCGATTTTATATTTCACAAATCAATATACATAAACTTAAATAAAAAAAAACTCAATAAAAAGCAAGGGATCAACGAAAACAAATCTGAAGATTTAATTTGCAATATTGACCTCATTCCAACCCAAACAGTGTATGAAGATAGCAGACACGAAGAACTTAAAAACCTAATTCCTCGAGTTCTCCTTCAACGAAATGAACATAAATAAAGTATAAAGAACATAAATTATAAACGAAAGTAAGCTTTGAATAACGAGGTTTCCATTAACAGTGTTAAAAAATGCAAGAAGCAGAGGATTTTCAAGAAAATTTTGCCGGAGAATAGAGTGGATGTGAAGCTTGGCGGAAAACAGCTGCGACGCCGTCCAGACGGTGTCACGGTGAGAGTACTTTGGCAATTTAGGGAGTTTATTTTTTGGAAATACTTCACTAAATAAAACTAAAACTTAAGTCATTTTTTAAAATAGCACTTAAGCTCTTTTATTCTCTACAGAGTACTTAAGTTTTATATATATATATATATATATATATATATATAGATTTTGGTTCTGGTGAGAATGCAATCTTAGGAGAGAAATGAGAATGAATCTGGTGCTTTAAATTGTGAGATCTAAGGGTCAAGATTTCATCAAAATTAGATGCACCAACATGGAGCGAAAATGCATCACGTCGAAATGCACCATAAACCTTCGAAAATGCACTATCTCAAAATCTGAGCGCAGAATATAATCTGAGCCGCACGATGCATCAGATCCGACGGCTAGATTTTATTCTCATTTCTCTCCACAAGGTGCATTCTCACGAGAACCGACCCCTATATATATATATATCATAAATTCATTTTATTTCAAATCAATTCATCAAAACCAAATAAAGAACATATAGAACCATTAATTCATTCTATTTCATAGCAATTAGAAAATATTTTAAATTAAAAACTAATAATTAAACCTAGATTTTAAATACAAAGAATGAAACTATGAAAGAAAGAAAAAAGATAAAATTGGAAAGCTTGTGAGTAGTGAATGTGGAATACCTGGAGGGTCGGCGGCGTCTAGCGGCGGCGGCGGTGTCTCTACCGGCACTTAGAATTTTCCGATCGATTTGCGTGCGAGTTTCTGCGTCTCTAGCTCTCTGCGACTTACTTTCTACGGCCTTCATACGAAGTAAAAGGCTTAGAAGAAGAAATGGACGGTTAAAAGATGGGCCTTTAACTAGGGCTTGGGCCTTGGTGCTGGACTGCTAGGCTACTTATATACATATTTATATGTATGGGCCCTTAAAACAATGGGACCGGTCCGGACGGACGAACTGTTTGTCCCCTATTGGGCCGGCCCTGCAATTAGCCTCGATTAGAACTGCCTATGAATTTTTTTAGATGAGATATGTAAGACTGTCTAGTGTCTACGGCGCGAGAAGACATCCCTCGCCCGTAGCCGACGCGACTGCCAGGCGCCAGCTCTTGGCATGCTGCGCTGTCCCTCCCGTGCTTGGAGTATTTATTTATTTGCAACTTTTTTAAAAAAAAAATGTTACTTGTTCTAACATCAACTTTTTTATAAAAATGATTTATTTGTTATTATATAAATATAAATAGATGGAATTAACGAGAGTGTATGTGAGAATTAGGAGTGTAAACGGATATTAATCAGATCGGATATGCCATTACCAAATCCGTATCCGTTTATTTTTGTCGGATATCGAATTCGGATACGGATCACGACAGATACTGAAAATCAAAACCGTATCCGCATCGGTCAGATATCGGATATATCCGTATCCGTTTCCAATTTTTATAATCAAATTAAACAATATTTTAATTTTAAATTAGATTAAAGTCAAACTATTATTAAATCAACTATAGTTTGATATGGGATAATTATTTTCTTTGTTTTCATGATTTATGATATTCTACGATAACTTCATATGATAAAAAAGTATACACAACACACATATACACATACTTTTATATGTCTGTATCTATTTTTATGTGTCTACACATTTAGTTTGCATATAAAAATGTCTTATATTTTGAAATATCAATAGAGAAACAAATTATAAACATAAAAATTTAGAAAAAACTATATATAACGGATTGAATATTCGGATAAACGATTATTTAAACGGATGTATATTCGAATCGGATTCTAAACGGATCGGATATACAATTACCAAATCCATGTCCGTTTAGTAATCGGATATCCTTAATCAGATACAGATAATATCCGTTTAAAACGGATGCGGATATTTCCTCTTTAAAAGAATACGGATGCGGACGGTAATCGAATTTTCGACTATCCGTTTACAGCCCTAGTGAGAATGATAGATACAATAGTGTTGATAGAAAAAATTATTTGTTAGAATTTATATGAATGGATACGCTTGGGTTCGTAAAATGGATTAAATCCAATGACATTCAAATCATTCCTCAAAAACTCCATCCATAAAAAAAAACGTTTCTCTTTCATTTTTATATGTTAAAAGAAAAGGCCTTAATAGACATAAATGTCAATATTNCTCTTATAGCTTACGCTCTCCCCATTCTGATAATTTCCAAATTTTACTCGTTTCAAATGTTGTTGTTTTCGTTTGATCAAATTTCTGTAATTTCTTCTTCCAAAAGTTAAAATTAGAAAAATTTTATGGAACTGAAGAAATAAGTCTCAATTAAAATGTGAAAACTAGGAAAAAAATAATTTAAAAATAACACTGCATTTAGAAGCTAAATTCACGCGTGTTTTCAAGTAGCAATTTCTCACCAAGATAAGAACTTGTATCGGAAAAAAAAGACTTCAAGCGTCTTCGAACTCTAGAAATTAAAGGAAATAAGTATAAGAAAGATCACGTAGGCTTTGGTTGTGTGTTCTCAAAGACAAGCAGTGAATTAGGGCTAATGATTCGTTTATTGATTGATTATTCTAAACGAGTACATCTCTATTTAAAAGGGATATAGAAATTCTGACCTTAGTAAGATTATGAAACCTAACCCCGTTGATTCAACAAATGTATCGAGGTAGAAATCAAAAGGAAACCCTTGATGGAGCTCACCTATAAAATCAAGATTACATTAAAGACGAGATTGAATTGGACCGTTTCTAACTAGACTACTAAGTCTCAAAAGATCTCTATTTTTATAAAGACCGAATTAGTCCCGACTAATTTTAAAAAAGACTAGACTCATATCTAGTGGTATAGCTGTATAAGGAGTAATTACTACTATTAAGGGCTTAAGGCTCTGTTCATTTTAGTTCCAATTATTAATTTCTAACATTTTTCAACACTTTCACATTCTTTTAATTTTTTCTAGTTTTTTCCAATTTTTTCAATTTCTTCAAACTCATTTCAATTTATTCAGTTTTTTTCAAGTTTCTTCTAACTCCTTTCATTTTTTCCATCATTGACTTAAAAAATTATTTATGTATATTTCTATATATCTTGGCCCTGTTTGGCATCAGCATTAGAGATTTGCGTTAGCGTTTTGAAAAGGATATCTGACGGTAACTTTTAACGTTAACTATTTTAAATTAATTTATATCGCTAATACTTTATCCAAAATGATAACACTAATTGAAAACACTATTTTCAAATAAAGCCCTTATTATTTTGCAGGGAGTCTAAAAAGTAGTACCGTCTCTGGTGTAAAACGTAAAACCGTGTTTGTGCATGGTTGCATGTTCAAATAATCAAATGACTCAAATCATACAACCATGCTACACTTCGCCAAAAAATATACCCCATTTGTACACCGCAATTATACACAAACATTTTGATCGTTTACACCAACGCAAGTGTTGATGCATTAACAAAAATTTACACGGACATAAAATGTTAGTGCGTTAACAAAAATTAGTTAAATGTTAGTGCAAACTTGCAGGGTACAAAGTGAGCTATAAAAACTTGAGGTACAAATAACTTAATTCCAAATCATATTCTAATGTTGATTTAGTCAGAACAAATCTCCTTAATAGTACATAATGTGACTTTTTTATCCTAAAAACAATACAAAAATCTTAAGGCCATACGGATTTCCTCAGCCGTTCGAATTCGTCGTCCCCTGCCGACAACTCTGTGCTTAGGGATGCACATCAGGATTTATTACTCTTGTCCTTTCCTACTTTCCTCCCTGATTCTCCTCTGTTCCTATCTCGCCGCCGTCCATGGCGGCGACACCATCTCCGCAAACCAATCCCTCTCCGGTGACCAGACCATTGCTTCTTCCAACTTCGTCCTCGGATTCTTCAAGCCCGGCAACGCTTCCAAATACTACGTAGGCATATGGTACAAGAACGTCACCAAACAAACCGTCGTTTGGGTTGCCAACAGGGAGACCGCAGTCTCCGACAAGGCCAGGGCGGAGCTCAAAATCGTCGCCGGAAATCTTGTCCTCCTCGACGAGTCGAAAATCGCGGTTTGGAACACAAGCATAACCCCCGCCGGCGCGGTTTCCGCGGTCCTTCTCGACTCGGGTAATCTGATATTGCGTGATGGGTCGGGTCCGGATCTGGGTTCCTCCACCCCCCTCTGGCAGAGCTTCGACAACCCGGCGGACACGTGGCTGCCCGGAGGTAAGCTCGCTTACGACAAACGGACGAACAAGAAACGACTCTTGACTTCTTGGAAAAACTCCGATGACCCGGCACCCGGTTTGTTTTCCCTGGAATTGGATCCGGACCAGAAACGGTATCTGATCAAATGGAACAGGAGCGTGGAGTATTGGTCAAGCGGCCCCTGGAATGGCCAAATTTTCAGTTTGGTCCCTGAGATGAGATCTAATTACCTGTACAATTTCAGCTATGCTGATATGGACAATGAGAGCTATTTCACCTATTCGGTTTACAGTTCTTCAATAATCTCAAGATTCGTCATGGATGTTTCCGGCCAAATCAAGCAGTTGACATGGCTGGAGGGCCAGAACCAGTGGAATCTGTTCTGGTCACAGCCCAGACAACAATGCGAAGTTCATGCTTACTGCGGCCCGTTTGCGGCTTGCCAGAATTCGTTGCCGTTTTGCAACTGTTTGGACGGTTTCAGGATAACCTCGGATGGAGACTGGAGCCGGAATGATTATTCCGGCGGGTGTACGAGGAAGGCGAGCTTGCAGTGTGGAGGAAGAGACAAGTTCAAGGCGTCCCCGCAGATGAATCCGCCCGACCGGCCCATATCCGTTGGCGGCGTAGGGAGTGACTCAGATTGTGAATCTTTCTGTTTGGGGAATTGTTCTTGCTCTGCTTATGCTTATGATGTCGGCAATGGGTGTTCTGTCTGGATGGGGGAGCTTCAGAATCTGGTGCAACTCGCGCCGAACGACGGCGGCGGGAAGACGGTCAACATTCGCCTTTCGGCCTCCGAATTCTCAGGTGGAAAGGGTAACAAGCTTGTGATTGGAGCTGTTTTCGGATCTGTTTTGGGTTTGTTGGCTTTGTCCGGTGCTGTTCTCTGGTCGCTCCGCCGGGTGGGGACCACAAAGGCGGCGATGGAGGGCTCGCTGGCGGCCTTTTCGTACCGGGACTTGCAGTGCGCGACCAGAAACTTCTCGGAGAAGCTAGGCAGCGGAGGGTTCGGTTCGGTTTTCAAAGGCACATTGCCAGACCCTTCATCCCCTGCCGTTGCCGTGAAGAAGCTGGAGAGCATAAGCCAAGGGGAAAAACAATTTAGGACCGAAGTGAGCACGATCGGAACGATCCAACATGTAAACCTCGTTCGCCTCCGCGGGTTCTGCTCCGAAGGCAATAAGAAGTTGTTGGTTTATGATTACATGCCAAACGGCTCCTTGGATTCTTGTCTCTTCAGGGAAACAAATGGACCCAAGTTTCTTGATTGGAAATCAAGGTATGGTAGAAGTCCATTTTATCTGATTTAGGAATCAACTGAACCAAAAGCTCAGACTTATGGTTGTTTGTAAGTCCATAAAAGGCTAACATCTTGTGGTTGTTCCTAATAGGTACCAAATCGCGTTGGGCATCGCAAGAGGATTGAGTTATCTCCATGAGAAGTGTAGGGATTGCATCATACACTGCGACATAAAGCCGGAAAACATCCTTCTTGATTCCCAAATGTGCCCAAAAGTTGCAGATTTTGGTTTGGCAAAGCTGGTGGGCCGGGACTTCAGCCGGGTGTTGACGACGATGAGAGGAACGAGAGGTTATCTTGCACCCGAATGGATATCCGGAGTTCCCATCACACCCAAAGCCGACGTTTACAGCTACGGAATGATGGTGTTTGAGCTCTTATCCGGGACCCGAAACTCGGAGCACGCGAAAGTGAAGTTCTTCCCTACTTGGGCTGCTTCCCACGTGATTCTCAAAGAAGGGGATGTTCTCGACGTGTTGGACCCGAAGCTAGACCGAGTCGCGGACCCAGAAGAGGTTTCTAGAGTGTGCAGAGTGGGGCTCTGGTGTATCCAAGATGATGAGAATCAAAGGCCCTCTATGGGAATGGTGGTTCAGATTCTTGAAGGGGTTTTGGATGTGAAGTTGCCACCGATCCCATCGTCTCTTCATGTTTTTGGTGGCGATGATGAACAAGACATTGTTTTCTTCACAGAATCGTCGTCCAGCCAAAGCAGCTCACAAACTCATTCCAAGACTTCAAGAAATGCCTCATTGGTAAAGAACCAGTGTTGAATAATGTAAGATGTGTAATCACCTCTATTCAGAAATTCTTATAGATACTCATTTGGATTCAGTTAATATGACAACCCGTTTTTCGTGTATTAGTCGATGTAGTTGTGCTTCTATGAAATAAATCAAACACACAGAAGTGATTTTCATGACTAGTTTAGACGCTAGCATTAGCATTTTTGGCGCATTTGTGAAATCTGAGCTGATCAAATCTTCGCCGTTTTTGGTGCCAATTTCTGTTCTTTATTAGTGTGGCAGCTCCTTCACTATGTTCCCAACTTGTTTTGAATCACACTGTAACACATCAATAAGTCATCCTGCAATGGTACCATGACAACAAATCACATTTCTGGTTTTCATATACTTTGGGAAGAAAGGGAGGGGAAAAAACCACTTATAAAAAAAAACCACTTACAGCATTTAGATATGTTGTGTCAAAGGTTGTTTCTTTATAGCAGTGAAAGTGTAGAGGGAAGAGCTCATCACAGGCAGAGAGGAGAGCCGCCGCGGAGATCAAAGAAGGCTTGAACTTCAATAATTCGACTTCTGAGATATTAAGGTCAGTTGTTATTGTTACTATGTTTTAAAACCACTAAGAGGGAGTGAGTTTGATAGATGTGTACCGGTTTGGGTTTCGAAGATGATCTGTCTCGCCCTTGCCTTGAGGGCCCGCCTTGGTGGCGGGCCCTCGAGCCCGAAGGTCGAGATAAAGAAATCAAGGAAACAAAATGGAGTCACGGACCGCATTCGCCAGCTCAGCGTTCCGAGAATCAACTTCTCCATTCTCTCAATGTTTTGCATATCAAATATGGCACCAGCATCTTGCTGTTTTTTTTGGGTAGTGTACAACAAAGATTCACCACAATGTCAGTTTACTTGGGATTATTACTTTCCTTGGCTTGTGTTAGTATACATTTTTACTTGCCTGAATCTCAGAAATTGAAAACTCTGTTTTTGTCATCTTCAAAGCCAATATGACACAACAAACTGCAGCAAGATTCAAGAACCATTGCTTTTCTTCCTGCATTTTCTTTCAAATTTCACTATGATGTGTGGATATTCGATTTGGAACGTCGAAAATGACAATGCGCTAATTTAATCAAAAGCTCAAACTAGTGATTGTAGGACATATAATGTTAAAGAGTGTCAATGTATGATCTAGGAGGGGGTTGCGGCGTCTAAACGAATAAACACACACACACACACATTGTTAGTTACCGGAAAGGGATGGTACGAGAGGAACCGGTCGGCGTAATTCAGGGCGAGATAGCTTGTGACGGCGCCATAGTGACGGGAAAGTCGAAGAACGAGAGACATGATTTTCCGGCGGGTGTCGACGAAAAAAGCTCCGGCGCCGGAGACGAGGCTCCGGTGATAGGTTGGCGCAGGCATGTGATCAGATTCCACGTTGAAAAGGTAATAGTTGGGGGTGTCTGAAGGAAGGTCGGGACCATGGGGAGTTGGAAATGGGGTTTCCAGGTCAAAATCCGCCATTGATGACGTCTCTGAAGTGATGAACTCCATTGGTTTCTGATTTTCTTTCTTCTAGAAGAATATGATGAAGACCATCAACATTTAAAGATGGCCATTGTGGTGGGGACTGGGGAAGAAGAAGGGGGAGTTATATAGTGATAACAAAGTGAGGCCATAGCTGACTGATGATTCTTTTTTGTTTTTCCCTATAAAGAAAAGAAAACTTTGGAAGACTTCATCTTTACTCCATCTCTTTTCTTTCATTTATTGTATATGTCCTGTCCTTTTCATTAGTTCTTTTTATTTGTCTATCATAGATTTTTTTTATTGTCTTTTTTAACATTTAAAATATCACAATTAGCTTCACTTACTTTATTTATTACATCTAACCTATCTCATTTAATATACGTACTCCATCCATTTTCAATTCATTAAGGGTATTTTGATAAACTTTCACTTTTTCTCAACTCTCCTTAAAAACCACAAAAAAACAAAATGGGAAGATATTATGGGGACAGAAGGAGTATTTTTTTACTTTAAAATTGCTTATTTACGCACTTTAAAATGCTCATTTAGCATATATTAAGGTTTACTATGGACCTTAGGTGCATGTAATAATTTTCTTTTCATAAAGATTGAATCCCAGCCCCCAATGTATCTTAGTACCGGGCTCGATAGTAGACTGGGAAGACATAAATGAAACTATAATTTCAGTATGATTGATAAATAGGTGGCATTTTGTCTTGTTGCGGTTTTTGTACTTTTAGTTTGTTGTTTGCTTTTTATAGAGTTACGTGCTTTATGTGTTGATCGAGCCGGGGTCTCATGGAGACATTCTCGCTATATTCAAGTGAGGTGAGTATATACACATCTTTCTCCGATCCTTTTTTGTGTGATTTTATTGATTGTTGTTGTTAATGATTGATAAGAAGTGAGGTGTGTTCTAGTACATGTAAATATTTCTTGCAGATCGATCATCCTCTTTCATAAAGATTAAAGTCAATCAATTATTTGGTTTAATTCAAAAATGTATATATTCTGAGATACCTTAACAACCTCACTTACGAGTTGAGTTTGGTCCCAAATTCCCAATGATCAAATGATGTTAATCTATAGTAAACATAAGATCATGAGTCTGTCCGGCTGGATATTGTATGAGTGTCCAACGGGCTGGAAATAGTTTGTTTCAATATTCCACGCATTGGGCTTCATACTTTTTTAAAATGTTTGGGCTTTATATATTTAAGGTGATTGGGTTTAGAATTTTTTATATTAATGGTTCGGCCCATTAGGATTAGACCAGACGCCCATTTTATCATCTCTACTCATCCGAGTCTCAACTCCTATCCCACACCAAAAATTCAGATAAAAGTGAGTGCATATAACAAAAAAGGATGAGCTCCATCCTCAAAAGCTCCTCCAGATTCAATCGAACGGTCACTGAGAGAAAGTAAATGGACTTTGATCGCAGATTAGTGGCAAAAAATGAAACATGTACCTGATACCTGCAAAGGTCTTATGCTTAGCATAGTTGCCTCCCAGTGTAATTGCTAGGAATTAAACTCGAGTCTTATCTCCTTCGCACTTCTTGTCTTTGCTTCTGCACAACGCCCATGAGCGGTTGATTTCCATTTAACACTTAGACTGTGTTTATTTTGTTTCAATTTTATAAATGCAGCGTTCAACTGAATTATTCTTATTGTTAACTTGTTGTTACTATGTTTGGGAAAATGAATTTGAAAAAAAAGAAAAAATATGACTTTTTTTTTTGTTTTGTTAGAGAAAGAAAAAAGAATAGTACTCCCTCTGTTCACCCACTTCACCAAAATCCATGCTATTTTAACTTTGGGGCAAAACAAGGAATAAGTTATTTGGGATTGAATTTCCAATTTTACCTTGATGTGAAAGGTAAAAATAAAATGTGATGAATAGACTATTTATGACAAAATATGATGCAATATGTAGAGTAAGAATTATTATGAATGAAAATGGATTTTTAATAGAAAGTGAAAGTGTTTGGTGATAGAGAAAAAATGAAAGAGAAAGAATTTTGGAGAATTAAGGGTGTAAGAAAAAAAAGAATTAGAGGAAACCAACTTTATTTCATTTTAATAAAGAAAAAGAGAAAAACCAATTGATATTATGGCATTTTAAAACATGATGATATTATGTCGTATCAATTAGTGGCGGAGTCAGGATTCAACTCCAGTGGGTGCAAAGTAGAAGAAAAGGTCTGTATCTCGCAATTACCAGAGATGGAGACAATTAAATAACCATTTATCCGTATATCTGATCCGTTATATATAATTTTTCCTAATTTTTTATTATTAGATTTTATTTTTCTATTGACATCTCAAAGTATAATACATTTTTATATGCAAAATATATGTGTAGACACATAAAAATATGTGGTGTGTGTATTGTGCATATCTTTTTACCGTATAGAGTTGTTGTAGAATATTATAAATTATACTCCCTCCGTCCTCCTGTATTTGTCCACTTTCATTTTTACACACCATCCAATGCACTTCTTTTATTCATTTTATCTTGTAATTTGTATATTAAAAAATTATAAAAATTATATATTAATAATCTATATGTTAACACAAATCAAACAAGATCACACATAACTATATTTAGGCTTACACATTGAGAGAATTTGATGAGTCAAAGTGCTTAGATGAACAGTTCTAAAAGCCAAATGTGAACAAATACATGGGGACGGAGGGAGTAAAAAATAAGAAAAATTACTCCGTAACAAATTAAAAAAGAATAAATAATATTTTGACTTTAATTTAATTGAAAATTAAAGGATTTTTTCCATTTAACTTTAAAAATTGGAAACGGATACGGATATAAAATATCTGACGGATACGATTTTGATTTTTAGTATCCGTCAAGATTTGTATTCAAATTCGATAAAAATAAATAGATACAAATCCGATAATAATATACCCGATCCGATTAATATCCGTTTATACTTTACCCCAAGTAATACTTGCAAAAGAAAGGGCTATGGGCAAATTAATTTCTCGAGTAAGGAATCTCCAACCTCCCACGCCGGATCCCTTTTTCCTATGGGAACATGTGGTAGTTGTTGGCGAATGGTGACTTTTATATTCCTTTGTAGTGCAAAGTTGCATCCCCTTGTTTTTTTGGCCTTGTTTGAATGCCCAAAGCTCCTCAATCATTCATCCTTTTTACTCATCTTTTCATATTTTTTTGCCATTATTTTCATATAATTTTGCTTTTGTGTTTTGGATAGGCCCCACCATTTTTCCTCAGGAGCGCTAGCTAGCTAGATTCTACCATAATTGCACAAATGAGCCTACAAATGCAACTCCAAGCACCCAGGATGAGCCCATCCTCGAGGGCCCTCTCGGACTCGGCCTGACGGTCACTGAGAGAAGGTAAATTGGATTTTTATCGTATATTGGTGGCAATAAGTGGAGTCTGCACGAGGTACTTGCAGAAGCCCTATACTTAACATAGATGCCTCCCAGCGCAGTTGCCAGGAAATGAACTCGGGTCTTACCCCTTTGGCATCCCTTGTCTTCCCAACTGTGCAACGCCCACCAGCGCACCCAACAATATATGGTTCTATCAAGAACACCACCGGCTTAAAAGGTAATTAGATGTTAAATATTCATTCTATTCCATAATAATTTTTTATTAAAGATTATATTAGATCCATTAAATTTTAAATTAATTTTGACTTTATTATGTCTGCATTCGTTCAAAATCTAAAATATCTGATAAAACTTAGAGTAGAATTGAAAGAACACATAAGTTACAAGCTGAAAGTTGGCTACAATGTTTTGAATAGGCCCACCATTTCTCCTCGGGTTTATAATTAATAAAGACTCCGTATATATTTGAATCGTAGAACCAAGTAAGAATTTACCCAATAAGCTACACTACTAATTGAATTTATTATTCAAATATGTTGAAGTATACTAGGAAAATGTAGTGATATACTTCCTCCATCCCAAAAAACTTCTAGTTATTACTATATTCATATGTCAAAATAATTATAGTTTCTTTATACATTTTTGTCAATCATTTGATAAAATAGAAATAATCTTGTCACTACTTGTTTTGTAGAACTTTTGATGTAATTTTTTAATATATAATTTTTATTTTTTAATTAAAAACCAATTTTTAACTATTTCTATTTTAAATAAATCTATAGTATAAAAATATTATATTTCAAAACTATGTTTCAAAATGAATCTATTGATAATAAATTTATATGAAAATTCAATATATTTTTCTGTAAAATGCGGTTAAAATTTAGCTGATATGTGTGGATATAACCTTTTTGGGAGTAGATTTAGCAATATCTAAATAAAAGAATACTAGAAACTCACCACGAGTGTTCTGCAAATTACAATCACAGATGATTTATACATGTACAAAGAACCTTTTTGGGAGTAGATTTAGCAATATTTAAATAAAAGAATACTAGAAACCGAATAATCGTCTGTGAACATAAGATAAGTATCGCTTGCATATATATATTAAATAATTTGTGAGTTCTTAGCATGGTCTCCCAAGTAGGGCTGTAAATGGATAACCAAAAATTCGATTACCGTCTGCATCCGTATCCGTTTGTATAGAAAATATTTGCATCCGTTAAAAGCGATTATTATCCGTATCTGATTGGTAAACGGATACATATTTTTAGTGTGCCATATATAAACTTTGCTGAATAAGAATCCCCTAGCCTCTTCTCCTCTCCTTATTTCGTGGAATGATGTTTTTAATTACAGAGTATTTATATTCTTCTTTCTCCTCTTTGCTGCCATGTTCTGTGTTCTACCCCTCCCTTGTACTCTTTCTTTTTTTAGGTTTGCTTATACTCTGTAGATATATCTATTTAATATTCTCTCTGTCCCTAAATAGATTACAATTTTTTTCTCTCTCTTCTCGATAACTTTTGTTTGTTTACGCGATTTTATTAAGTATTTGATAAAATAAAATATTCTTGCCACCTCTTGTTTTGTAGAACTTTTGACGTAGTTTTTTAATATGTAATTTTTATATCTTATTGATATACCAATTTGTAAATAAAATGATTTCAAAAAGTAGAAAATGTTACTCTGTAACCCGCAATTTATAATCAAATTGGGGACGGAGAGAGGATGTTTAAAAAAGGGAGTGACTGCAATTACAGTCAATTACACCCATTGGCTTCGCCACTGGTACCCATGTTGTCAGACTGTATCTCACTGCTTTAAACATTAACAACTGTATTCAAATTTCGGTTCTAGTAAATAAGTCTGATTGCAAAATATAAATGTTGATATTAAAATACATATGATTTGATGGCGAAACGATTTTCTATTGTTGTAAAATATTTGAAGAATACTCTATGTTCTAATATATACTCCCTCCATCCAACTCTCTTTGTCCATTTTTCCGTTTTGGACCATCACACTGTTTTTGTCTATTTTTTTTGCCTTTTTGGTATAGTAAATGTATTATCTTCAAATTGTCTATTTTGCCCACTTCTTAAATATTTCCAACCTACTATCTACCAACCATAAGGATAATTTAGACTATTTTTACTGGTTTATCACAAGTCTTAGTATTTGTGTCAAAGCTAAGCGCACAAAGAGAGTAAAATAGATGTAGTACGTATCTTCGATCTATGAATCTAGTTGTCAATTTTATATTAAAAATATTTCGAATGAGAGATATCAATGTTATCAAGGTGTTAAAACACACAAAGTATAGTCATATTATATAGGTAAACGAGAAGTGACACTTTAATTTTAACAACATTATTCTTTGTTGAAATATTTGAATAATAATATTGCTTCTTGAATTATGGAGTACATGATAGAGTATATATAGGAGAGACTCCTAACACAACTAGGAATAGAGAATGGAAACTAACTAACATACAACATCTAGCTACCACAAATAGGAGTAGGAAACTGACTAATAATCAAACACTACCATAACCAATACTACTAGAAGTACTATTAGTATTATTGTCTAACATCCCCCCTCAAGCTGAACTCTGGCTGAAGCAAGAGGAAGCTTGGACACTAGCTGGAAACTGGAAACTTTGAGAAGAGAGAAGTCTGACATGCGCCGGTGGCTGCTCAGATCACGTCGTTGGAGAAGAGAGAAGTCTGACGTGCGCCGGTGGCTGCTGACGTCGATGGAGAAGAGAGAAGTCTGACGTGCACTAGTAGCTGCTAACGTCGTTGGAGAAGAGAGAAATTGACGTGCGCTAGTAGCTGCTGACGTCGATGAAGAAGAGAGAAGGTTGACGCGCGCTTGTAGCTTCTGACGTCGAAGAAGAATAGAGAAGGCTACTGGAGGTGCCTGTCTGACTGAGGTCCTTGACATTTTTTGTCTTTTTCTTGGATCCGGGCAATGCCCTATTTCCTTCTTGAAGGGGTGAGTTGTAGAAGTCTTATTTTCTCTTTCACTACTTCCCCTCTTGGCTTTGCTTTTGTGATGATTTACTTTGGATTTTTAATGGTTCAATAGAAGAGAAAGAGAAGGGAGGTTGATGATTAGAATGAGTGATTTTAGAGAGAAAAAATAGGTTAAGAATTGGTGATGGAAAAAAAAATTGGGTCTGAGATTTTGATATGGTGAATTGGAGAGAAACAACAATCATTTTTTTTCCTTTTTTTGAGAAGATAGGATGATCTGAGAGATTTTGTGAGGAGTTGGGATTTTTTTTTGAAGAACCATGAAGATGACATGAGAGAAGTTCCTCCTTTGATAGTTTTTTTGTGTGATTTCAACAGAGTTTTTTTTCTTTTTTTTCATTTGAATGGAGAAGTTGATTTGAGGATAAAAAAGAAAAGAGAGAAGAGAGAAGTGTGACGCGCGCCGGTGGCTGCTGACGTCGTTGGAGAAGAGAGAAGTCTGACGCGCACTGGTAGCTCACCAAGAGCGATGGCTCTGATACCAATTTCAACATCAACTTCCATCACCAATTTTTTTTCCATCACCAGCTCTGATACCATGTTGAAATATTTGAATAATAATATTGCTTCTTGAATTATGGAGTACATGATAGAGTATATATAGGAGAGACTCCTAACACAACTAGGAATAGAGAATGGAAACTAACTAACATACAAGATCTAGCTACCACAAATAAGAGTAGGAAACTGACTAATAATCAAACACTATCATAACCAATACTACTAGAAGTACTATTAGTATTATTGTCTAACATTCTTCAATTCATTATTATCAAGAAACACATATGCAACATTTGGGGAGGACTTCCCCGATCCAGCTCACATTTATTTCTTCCTAGAACCCGGCGTCGAATATGGTGGAATGGAATTAAACGAGTAAATTCCCAAAATAGACCTTTGTAATAAGAGATTTTCCCAAATTAGTCCTCAGTCAGTTTTAATTACTTACATGGTCCTCTATAATTGAGATTTATTCCCAAAATAATCCTTTGTAATAAGGTATTTTTCCAAATCAGTCCTCAATAAGTTTTAATTACCTAGGTGGTCCTCTATAATTGAGATTTATTCCCAAGATGATCCTTCATAAATAATGTTACTCAAATGAGGATTAATTGAGGTTATTTTTTTATGCTAAATTAAGAATTAATTCTTAAAATAATCATTTATAATGAAATGCTTTCCCAAAATGATTTTTCTAATTAAAGATGTGTATTTGATTTGAAATTTAAAAGATTTTTTTTAAGTTTTAAATAATTCATAAATTATTTATACTCAATGTATTTTTTAAATTTTACATTTAGTTGTACAGAAATGATTGTTTCAAAAATATACTTTAAATTTGGATTATCAAAATATCAAAATATCTCCCAGTTAATCCTCATTTGAGGATTGATTTGGGAAAACACCTTATTACAAAGGACCATTTTGAGAATTTACTCATAAATAATTTATGAATTATNAGAATTAATTCTTAAAATAATCATTTATAATGAAATGCTTTCCCAAAATGATTTTTCTAATTAAAGATGTGTATTTGATTTGAAATTTAAAAGATTTTTTTTAAGTTTTAAATAATTCATAAATTATTTATACTCAATGTATTTTTTAAATTTTACATTTAGTTGTACAGAAATGATTGTTTCAAAAATATACTTTAAATTTGGATTATCAAAATATCAAAATATCTCCCAGTTAATCCTCATTTGAGGATTGATTTGGGAAAACACCTTATTACAAAGGACCATTTTGAGAATTTACTCATAAATAATTTATGAATTATTTAAAACTTAAAAAATCTTTTAAATTTCAAATCAAATACACATCTTTAATTAGAAAAACGATTTTGGGAAAGCACTTCATTATAAATGATTATTTTAAAAATTAATTCTAAATTTAGCAGAGAAAAAATAAGCTTAATTAATCTTCATTTGAATAACATTATTTATGAAGGACCATCTTGGGGATAAATCTCAATTATGAAGGACCATCTAGGTAATTAAAACTTATTGAAAACTGATTTGGAAAAATATCTTATTACAAATGACTATTTTGAGAATAAATCTCAATTATAGAGGACCATGTAGGTAATTAAAACTTATTGAGGACTATTTTGGGAATTTACTCGAAATTAAACTTCTTCCACCGCATACCCGACAATTAATGTCTTTCCAACATTAAACAAATCGAAAGTCTTTTTTTCTTTTCCCTTTTTTTTCCCATTACACCTAAATGAAACGAGGTTTCTAGCGATCGAGCAGGCCGTCGGCGGAGTCTCGTATCAACTTCCACGCAGCCACCACGTGGCGCTCTTGGGTTAACGTGGCCCCCACCGCGAACCTCAGCGTATACATCCCGCCGACCACCGTGTGCGTGACGTAGACCCGACCCGTCGAGTTGATCGACTCCGCCAGCTTCCTGTTCAACAGGTTCGTATACCTCGGGTCGTCCGACTCCTTCTGCGGGTTGACCCGGAAGCACACCAGGGAAAACGCCCTCGGCACCACGACCTCGAACCTCGGGTCCGATCTCACCATCCCCTCGAACACCTTCGCCAACCGCACGTCGGACCGGATGTGGCTCTGGAGGTTCGCCACCCCGTAGCTCCGCATGACGAGCCACAGACGGAGCGACTTGAATCGTCGCCCCGTGCCCAGTTGCCAGTCCTTGTAGTCGACGACGGACCCCAGGTCGCTCCGTTTGTTCCTCAGGTACTCTGGGTTGGTGCCCAGTGCCCTGACTAGGAGACTGGGTTCTTTGACCCACAAGCAGCAGCAGTCCAAATAGGTCAGCAGCCACTTGTGGGGACTAAGACTCAGCGAGTCCGCTCGTTCGACCCCGTCTAGGTGGTGTCGAAACTCGGGGCATATACACGCGCTCCCGGCGTACGCTGCGTCCACGTGGACCCAGATCTTGTGAGCAGCTGCTATTTCAGCTAGCTCGTTGACTGGGTCCACGGCTGTCGTGGAGGTCGTCCCCACTGTCGCGCACAGGTACAGCGGGACCAGCCCGACCGCCACGTCAGCCTCGATCGCCCTGCGTAGGGCCTGGGGCGACAAGGAGAAGTTGTCGTCCCGGGAAGTTGGAAGGATCCGGATGTTGCGCGGGAAAATGCCGGCACACTTGCACGCCTTCGCGTACGCCGTGTGAGTCTGGTCGGAGCCGTACACGACGAGCTTCCCGACGTGCTCGGCTCCGACGGCCCGCAGCGCGCGGTCGCGGGCGGCGATGAGTGTGCAGAGGACCGCCTCGCTGGTGGTCCCCTGCATGACCCCGCCGCCCGTGCCGCAGAACATGAAGGAAGTCGGGAGCTTGAGCATCTTCGCCAGCCAGTCCATGACCACCATCTCCAGCTCCGTGGCGGCGGGCGACGCCATCCAGTTGAACCCCACGGAGTTGAAGCAGGTGGAAAGCATTTCCCCGACGAAAGCGGCGGAGCTCACGGTCGCCGGGAAAAACGCAAAGAAATTCGGGCTCAACCAATGGGTCATCCCGGGAATTATCTCCTTCTCAATGTCTTTCATAATGGTGTCGAACGGTTCCGGCCGGTAGGGAGCGGCCGCCGGGAGACGGTTCCGGAGATACCCGGGCTCAACCTGGCTCTGTACAGGGTAGCTTTCTACGTTCTTGTAATAGTCAGCAATGAAGTCGACCGTCCGGTGAGCTTGTCGCCGGAACTCTTCCACGCCCAGCGGATTGAATTCACCGATTGTGTTTGACGGGCATGCAACGACGTCGTTCTCATCGAGACTGCCCATTTTTTTCAGTTTCTTAATTTCCCAGTTTGATTAAACTTTATATGTATATGATAGAATACGAATAACTTAAATGATACAAGAAATGTGTAATGTGTGTCTATTTATATATGAAGGAATGGAGGAGGATCAAGTGTAAAATGGATTCATGGAAATGACAAAACTTGGGGAGATTGGAAAAAAATATGGTTGGGGGATTTTAATGCAAGTATTAGTTAGGATATAAATTCCTCAGATTTGATTTATTTCCATGGCCTTTTTATAGAATAATGTTAGAGTTATACCAAATATGTACTCAATTTATATATCATTACTCTCCTCATTAGATATTCTTTATTCATTTTCTAATTTTTTATGCATGTCTAAACTTGGGAGTGTGGCCTACACTTTTGATTTTAGTATTTTTCTTTTTTTTCATCATTAGACTAAATATATGGTAAGAAGAGGGAGACTTACATAAGTACTACCTGCTAAAATATACTTCCTCCGTTTTCAAAAAGAGTTCCTATTTTGACTTAGTGTGAACATATATAAGAAAATGTTAAATTGTAGTTGACTTCCAATTTTGCCCTTGATGTGATGGACAAAAGTAAGATGTGATGGATAGATTTTTTGAGAAAAAATATGCTGTGATAGGTAGGGTATGAAAAGGAGAGACTAAAAGTGGTTTTTTTTAAAAAGTGGAAGTGTTTTGTTGGAAGTGAAAAAAATGAAAGAGGAAGTGTTTATGAGAACGGATGAAGTAGTGATTTTTCCAATGAAATATCATATGTTTATATTTTTCAATGTAGTACCACTGGTCATTATGCACTAATCATTGTTTAAGTAAATATCCATCGCCACTGTCATTGGATATTGTTCTCGTTACTAAACATTATTCAAGTATTATTTAAGAAATAAAAAAGTTTAAGTACTACATTAGAAAATGACATATGTTTTGGTAGATTATAAATAAAATGATATGATGTGACAGATGAAATGGGTTAAGAATTAGTGCGGTTAAAGGTGGTTTTAGAATAGAAAAGTAAGGATTTTTGTTGGACAAAAAAGAAAAGAAAATGAGTTTTTGGGACTAAAGGAGTAGTTAATTAAACAGTTTAATTACTATTATATATTTATATTTACTTTTTATTGTTGAGTGGAATTATAACATTTCTTCGAGATTTCTTTTTGGTTTCTTACACGATTTTATTGAACCGATAAAATTAAGAATTAGGTTTCTCTTAGGCTTTGGGTTTACCATCTACTTCTATATATTGAGTTATAATAATCCCTCTTTAAATAATTTATCAATGAAGAATCAAAATGAGTATTTCCCAAACCCTAATTATATCCCTCACCTGCGGCAGGCCTTTCTCTTCAGCTTCTTCCTCCCTAACTTTTCAACCCTTCTCCCAAATCTGATACTCCGTACATTATATTAGAATCTTAAATAATTGTGCAGTTAATTACCTCCTTTTTTATATAGGAAAAGTTAATTACTATCTCCGTCCCGCTATATTTGTCCACTTTTGACTTTTGAAACTGTTCATCTAAGCACTTTGACTCATCAAATTCTCTCAATGTGTAAGCCTAAATATAGTCATGTGTGATCTTGTTTGATTTGTCTTAACATATAGATTATTAATATATAATTTCTATAATTTTTTAATATACAAATTACAAGATAAAATGGATTAAAGAAGTGCATTGGATGGTGTGTAAATATAAAAGTGGACAAATACTCTGGGACGGAGGGAGTACTTTTTAGAGCATGATAGTTTTTATTTCCTCTCCGTGTCCAAAATAAATTTTATTTTATCATTTATCATACTTGGCTGAAAGAAGACTCTTGTGTAGTGAAAAGTAATGTAGAGGAAAAAAATGTTGTAAGTCATTCAAAATTTTCTATAAAGAAAAAGAGAAACCTTTAATTGGGACATTTTTTTTAAAAAAAGGAGAAGTCTTTTTTCCGAGACACAAAGTAAATATATTTTTAGTTTCTTAAAATACTTTCTCTTTTATTTTTTTTCTCTTTCCATAAAACACTTTAACTTTCACTATTAAAAAACTAAATTTACTCGTACATATCACATCATATTTTTTACTAATAATCTAACTATTATATTTTACTTTTATTCATCATATAAAGACAAAATTAAAAAGTCAATTACAAATAAATTTTCTATTTTAGCTATAAGTTAAAATATGAATAGTTTGTTAAAAGAGAGGGAGTACTCTAGAGACTAGATGTTAAAGAGTATCCCACATCAGAACTTGAAGAGAAAATAAACCGGTATATAAGCCCTTGAGTTGAACTAATTAATCGATTGGATTCAATCTTTTAATGTGGTTCAACTCAAGTGTCTTATTGCCCAATGCAGTTGTCCATACCTCATCCTAAATTCTATCCCACATCGGAACTTGAAGAGAAAATAAACCGGTATATAAGGCCTTGAGTTGAACTAACTAATCGATTGGATTCAATCTTTTAATGTGGCTCAGCCCAAGTATCTTATTGCCTAATTCAATTATCCTTATCCCATCCTAAATTCTAGTAAGTAGAAGTGGAGGGAATGGTTGGAAGTATATGGGGTAATAATGGTTTTTTGGCAGCTTTAACATTTGACAGCTTATGGGTCGCAGGTGGAGTTTGTAGTTATTACTCCGTATTATTGTACTCGCAAAATTAAATCTCTGGACAAAAAAAATTCACATTTTCTATTTTGAAATGTTCTAAAAATATTTTTGCTCTTATTTTTTTTAGGTAACTCCGTAATTAACGTGTTTCTTACAAAGGCACTATTTCTCTAAAAACAAAATTTCACAACACATTTTTTATTTTCAATTACTTTCTTGAACTCCATAAAATCGAAAAAAAAAGTCTTTAAACTTTGACGTATACAAAATTGAATGAAGCATATGATTCATCTTCTTCTTAAACAAAGGCGTCTGTGTTGACTAGATTAAATTATTAGGAAAAAGAAAGAAAGATAGGGATCGGAGTATATATAGACGTATACATTATATCATACTTACACCATAACGCCACATATAGAATTTTTGAGCTACAACACCAATACAGTAATTAAGTTTTATCTCTTTCATAATGTACAAAAGAATTACTCGTATTTTTAAATGAATTTGAACCACTGATTCAACATTTAAATCATTTTGATAATTGGTTTTGAAAAAAAAGTATTTTATTATAATTAGTTTTATTATCATTGATGGATTAGAGATTTTTCCTAATCCAATATTATTTAAACAGTACAAAAAAGCTCAATTTTATCTGGCCCAAGATATAAATCAGATAAATTATTCAAGGCGGAGCCAGAGATATATGGACAGAAGAATATATTTGAAGTAATGTAAAAATATTCAGTGGAGTCCATATACAAGACATACAAGACATGTGCACATGGAGGTGACATGGCTACCTCATGGCATTGTTGGGATGCATGCATATACTCTTCTTTATAATGGAAGGGATCGGAGAGGCCAAGGCCAAATACTCAACAAGTCCCTACTACTATATTTTTCTTCTTCTTCTTCTTTAAGCTTGGAGCTCCATTAATGGCTCCAAGCTCATACAATTATGTATACTAGTATTCTAACCCGTGCGATGCACGGGGTCGAACTAAATTTTTGTCGATTCTAAAACCTTTTCAATGCAATATTTTTCAAAAAAATTATATAATTTTGATATGATTTTTAATACTATAGACAAAAAAGCCAAAGTAGAATAAATAATATTTGAGGAATTGAATGTTTACTCAACAAAGTTTTTTTAATACCACTTTTTTTGATAAATTTTAGGGTATATAACAATTTTGGTATGGTTGCAATGGTTTCATTTGTCATTTGGAACCAATATTTTTGATCCTGTCATTGTTTTGATTCTTAAAACAGAGCTAACCATCAATGAAGAACGAATTGGTTAAAAAAAATCCAACAAATGACAATGTTTGACCTTGACTTTTGTTGATAGTCATTGCAAAGTATAAGACTATTGGGAAATGTCTTCTCTAGAACTTCAGGAGTAATTACATCAAATGGTACCAAATTCATCTAAGGTATGTAAACTTTATCCCCGACTGAATTTCCCAAAACCATAAAAGCATCGATAACGCTCTTTCGTAGCTCTTCAATGATTAATCTTGTAACATTACATAATCCAGATGTTTGGTCAATGTTCCCCAATAATATACTTGGTACCCCCTTTTTAAAAATTATTTTTGTGGTTTTGGGATCTTTGAACATTTGAATTATTCAAAAACTCAACTGTTATCTAATCGTCATCAACACCTACATCTGAACTTGCCTGGCATGAAGAATCAGAACTCGGATACACCATTTCATCTTTGGGAATGAGGGATAAGACATTCATTTACCATTTCTATAACCTCAAGCATGGGTGCAAATAGTGCTCTATCCTCGAAAAAAGAATAACTTTTCATAGTATCCAATAGGTTCAGATAAGTGAAATCCAGTATATTCTTTAGGGGTTAACTTGTGTCTAGAATCATCATCATGGACGGAATTTCAACTTCAGTTCTTCCATCAATCACTTATCCAAGTGGCCGGCCTCGAAAAATGAAAAAATGAAATTGGCCCGGTCCAAAATCTACATTTTGGGCCCTATTTTATTATTTTAGAATACTTATGCTTTCAAATTAATGATGAATTAAAATATGAGGCCATAAAATTTTAGGGGCCCTGTGCGGTTGGCCACTTTGCACACCCTTCGGGCCACCCACGTGTCCAAGCTTTCTATCTCCAACTTTGATTATCCAATTAGAAAAGGCTTGCGTGTCCCTATCTGCGCAAGAGGACGTCGATGAATACAATCTCATATTCTTCTTCAACGTATAAAGTTTACAATACGATCATATTTTTGAAGAATTGATGGTAGTACCTACATTTTCCTCTCCTGAAACTCTAGGTAAAACATGAAGAATTGATGGTAGTACCTACATTTTCCTCATGGCATTGTTGGGATGCATGCATATACTCTTCTTTATAATGGAAGGGATCGGAGAGGCCAAGGCCAAATACTCAACAAGTCCCTACTACTATATTTTTCTTCTTCTTCTTCTTTA